TTATGAGCCATCTACTCAGGAGTTTGTCTTGAGTCCTTGGTTAGACACTTTAAATTCTTTGAGAGCAGAGATCTTGTACCTGTTCTCTCTTTTACTTTGACCCCAGTGATCAAAAATTCTACCAAAAATATTTGAATCAAATAGTAAAATCAGAAAGCTTTAATTTATTTGGTGATCACTCTGGGCTAAATGTTGGGTCAAGAGCTTTATATGTACTATTTCACTTAATCCTCCCCATAAGTCCAGGGGGTGGATGCTTTGTTATTTCCCAACTTCACAGTGGAGGAAACTGAAAGCTCCGGTTCGCACAGTTGATGAGTGACAAAGCTGGGGCTCAAGCCCAGGGGTAACACCAAAGACGACTTTATTTCTCACTAGGAAACCCAAACGCCTTCTGTGTTGTGGGTAAGATGGCTTTGAAGGTGCAGGGAGCACACCTCCATTGCTTTCCCATGACCTGCAGCTGGGAGCGAACACCAGCGTTTCTCCTCAGAGGCTTCTGTCTGCTTCTCTGCAGGTATCAAGCACCGGAGCACAGAGCATAACTCCAGCCTGATGGTGTCTGAGTCTGAGTTTGACAGTGACCAGGACACAATCTTCAGCCGAGAAAGGATGGAGAGGGGGAATCCAAAGGTTTCCATGAATGGCTCTGTCAGAAATGGAGCTTCCTTCAGTTACTGCTCAAAGGACAGATAATGGAGTGGTCTGGTGTAAAATGCAGGGACCCCACAGGCACCCTTGAATCCAGGACCAGTCAGTAGAAGTTAAAACATAAAACTGACTCTTGTTAGGACAGCTCACTGATGCCCTCTCACAGTGGTTGGGTGTGTGCCATGTTAAAAGACCTGTTTCCTTGGGGTTTTCAAGGCACAAAACAAAAATATTGTTCATTAAACTGTGATGCTTGTTAATAAGAATGTAGGCTGGGTAAAATGCTAAGGAATATACTTAAAAGAGTTTTGTGGTTTTGTAGCTGTTACGATATTATATTGCTTCTGTTAAAATAAAGATTAACACCTGTTTCTACCTGTAGACCTTCAGGGAAGGTGAGTTAAATAAGGAAGGGGACCTGATTTCTCTCGTAGTAGCTGTGGTTGCCTTTAAGGACAACTTTCTAAACATGGTTTGTCTCAAAGGACCTGCAGAGTCAGATGGCTGTGTATATTAAATTAGCTTATCTAAGAGGCATGGGGCTTCTTCTGTGTAGGTGACCAGAGTTTTCTGTGCAGCAAGTTTTCCGTTTTCACAATGAAACTCAGAGCAAAGTCCTCCTATTTTACTCCTGTGCTATGGCTAACCACCCCTTCTATGTTCTCTCTGGAGAGCAGCTCATGGCAGTACAGGAGTTAAGAATTGTATTCTAAGAACTGAGGTAATAGAAAGGAAGGAGGAGTTTCATGCATTGTAGGTTAAAAGCCAAAGGTAGCATTTTATCATTTATCTTTTTTTCTCCTCTGAGAAAAACTACACTGAGGCCTTGCTTAGCCCCAGCTTACATTAAACACAGAAGTGATGGTTCATTCCTTAAACATTCATTGAGTACCTACTGTAGGCCATGCATTTGGATTTCCATTTACAGAGATAAGGATTCAGCAACTGTGCTATGCTCCAAGATTCTGAAACACAGTCTTAATTAGGATGGTATGGTTGTGAGACTCTGGGCCCTTGCAGATACTTCCCATGATAAAAACTGCATATTATCAGTTGGTAATAGACATGCTCAATTCATATGTTTAAAAAATACATTTATTTATTAAACAATTTTTCTACCAAGTAAATATTCAAACATATGAATAAAGCCACTCTAGATCAATTAAGTGGAGTTAATTGTAGCCTGTCACGTTGATTGGCTCACGGTGGTTCCCATCCAACCTTGGTCCTAAGGCTGGTGCCCTTGGTGGTGCCCCTAGTGTTCTTTGTGGGAAGATTAGAATGAAAGAGAGAAGCAGTGTTGTGGCATCTAATGTGACCACACCTGCTAGGTGTGGTGGCTTGCACCTGTAACATGTAATTCTATCACTTTAGGGGGGCCAAGGCAGAAGGATTGCTTGAAGCCATGCGGTCTAGACCCACCTGAGCAACATAGCAAAATCACATCTCTATAAAAAGTTTAAAAATTATTGGGGCATTGTGGCAAGTGTCTGTAGTCCCTGCTACTCAGGAAGCTGAGGTAGGATGATCCTCAGGCCCAGAAATCTGAAGTTGCAGCGAGCTATGATGACACCATTATACTCTAGCTCAGTGGTTCTCAACCTTCCTAATGCTGCAATGTATTTTCATTGTTAAAAATGGGTCGCAACCCACAGGTTGAGAACTGCTGCTTTAGCTCAAGAAGCAGAGCAAGACTCTATCTCAAAAAAAAAAAAAAAAAAGTGTGACCACACTTGAACAATATCACTTTCCACAGTGTTTGCATAAAACATGGGGAAAACTGGAACTGCATTGCCGATTAAACCATCAAGGCAAATGTGACAGAAAATGCTTATACCCATGGGCTTAAAAAAAAAAAAAAAAAGAAGCTTTCAGGTGTTTTTGTCATCTCCAGGAATATTCCTCCTCTTGGTACCATTTTTTTTTTTAAATTATTGTACGTTACTGGGGAATGGCAGAACTGAAAAGTGTTATTTAAAAAATTGCTTTACTTATGCCTACTGGACAGCTAATCAGTTTAATACTGTTTGTAGTGTTAGAAGGAAAATGTGATGCTTTTTACACCAGTATTTAGCTTCATAAACATAGAATCTACTCTGCTTGGCAACCAGGATTGTCTTATTTTTGTGCACAACTGGAAATTTCTGGCATTGAGGATACCAGTCCAAATATGAAGTCATCGAGCATAAGGATGAAGGGAGTGAACATTTATCCCTTTATGAACATAATAGATGCACTTACACACTCATTTGATCCCCATAATTAACCTTGAGGAGGATGCTATTACTCTCATGTTGCAGAGGCTAAGTCATTTGCCCAAAGTCATAGCCAATAAGTAGTGGATCTGGGAATTAAATGCAACTTTTTGAAACTGTAGAGTTCTGGAAATCCTGTTTTCCTCTACCCCAAAAAAACTCCTTGCCCAGGCCAAAGGAGGGCAAATTCTTTGGGACCTTTTGGACCACCTGAAAGTTCTCTTCCTAGAAGTAGGAGGAATTCCTTTATGATGGGTCCCAAGAGAGCAAAAGACAAAGGAGAGGTTGCCTGCCTACTCTCTCCAGTCAAATCACACCTGGACCTCTCCCTCCAGATGTGCAGTGTGCTTCTGCCAGTCCTTTTCTGTCCCTGGCCATCTCAGCCTGACTGTTCTGATCCTTGATTCCAGAAGGAATTGAACATTACAGTAGTGGTCAGAAAGTGAGTCATCTCTTGTTATCCCACTTTTCATTGAAGGACCGTAGCACAAGGTGGAGTGACTAGCCAGCATCCTTCATCGTGTACCACTTATCAGTAAGGTTCTTTGGGAGATAAAGGAGCCTAAGAGATTTGGACTCATGGAAAAAAATGGGCCCAGGAATATAGGAGGGGGCATTTATAAGGCTAGCAGGTTAACAAGACTCTTAGTTGCTGATTTAGATTCGATGAAGGAGGATTTAAACCCATCGCACTAAGAGACTATTTGCCTAACAACATCCCTGGCTGTTGTTGTGGCTCACTCCTGAAATCCCAACACTTGGAGAGGCTGAGGTGGGAGAATTACTTGAAGCCAAGAGTTTGAGATCAGCCTGGTCAACATAGCGAAAGTCATCTCCCAATCTCTAGAAAAAAAAATTTTTTTTAATTAGCTGTAGTCCCATCTACTTGGGAAGCTGAGGCAGGAGCATCCCTTGAGCCCAGGAGCTTGAGGTTGCAGTGAGCTATAATCACGCCACTACATTTTAGCTCACGAGACAGACTAAGACCCTCCCCCCCAAAAACCCCCAAACAAAAAAAAGAACCTCCTGAAAAACATCCAATGAGGCAAGAAAATCCAATGTACCACTTAACCTGCCAATGACGCCATCCTTGTGGACAGGGAGAAGAGGAATACTACTGTTCTTGTGTGTGCCCATGCTATCATGGACTCGGTTTGATATCTTGGTTTTATTTTTTACAATATATTGTTTCCCCCTGTATGTTGACAAGGTATCATTTCTAATCTGACATTATTAAATATATGTACTAATCTGAATAAAGGTGTCTGGATTTTCTGCATTGCTTATTTGGTGGTGGTGGGGTTGTGTTTTCTCTATGCTTCCTTGTAGAGGGGTTTCCTTTGAGTGTGGGTCAGCAAAATGTTGCCCCCAGCTTGTTTTTGCATATTTCAGGAGCCAAAACATGAGTCTTATGTTTTCACATGGTTGAAAACAAATGTAACGTGAACTATATGAATTTCACATGTGTGCACATAAACTTTTATTGGAACACATCTACATTCATTCGTTTATGATCATCTATGGCTGCTATTGTGTTATAACAAGTCAAGTAATTTCGCATGTGAAAACCCCACACTGTACCCCAGAAGTGCATTAATGTACATAGTTACCGTTCAATAAAAAAAAAAAAAAAAAAAAAAAAAAAAAAACAAGTCAAGTAATTTCAACAGGGACTTTGTGCAAAGCCTAAAACATTTCCTCTCTGGCCCTTGACATACACAAAGAATGTGCAGACGCCTAGACTCACTCCCTACTTCCCCACCCTTGTGGGAATGTGTTTGGGAGGTACTGAGCAAGCTCCGTCTGGCGTGCCTGTTCACCTCTGCTTGGGTCACTCTGCTGGGAATGGACAGTCTGCCCCCGCTGGGTGAGGCCTTCAGTATGGTGGTGGTGGTGGTAGTCGGTGATGAGGTTCAGGAGAATGTATTTATACCACATCCCTAATCTAGCTTTTATCAGTAATGAACCCATTTTATTTTTATTTACTTCTCTTTAGCAATCTCTGACCAAATAAAAGCCATTTAAAAATAGCATAATTCACAACAAAGTGCACATACTTAAAGAGTACAATTTGGTAAGTGAAACCATGACCACAGTCAAACTAATAAGTAGGTATGCCATGCATAAAGTTTCCTAGTGATACTTTTTAATCTCTCCTTCCCCTGGCAATCACTACAGATTAACTTGAATCTAAAGTTTCATAAAAATTGTGTCCCTAATACATGTCTTGATTAAGAAGTTCCCATCTTTCCAAGCTGTTTAACTCACTCTATTAGCAACTCTTCTCTCTTTTTTTTTAAACAGACATTTATTTCTCACAGTTCTGGAGACTGGAAAATACAAGATCCACATGACAGTTGACTCAGGTCTTGGTGAGGGCCTTCTTCCTGGATCCTCTCTGTGTGCTCACATGGCCTGTTCTTGGAATGAGACAACCACTTTTTAAAAATAGAGACAGGGTCTTCCCGTGTTGTCTAGGCTGATCTTGAACTCTTGGCCTCAAGTGATCTTCCCACCTCAACTCCTGAAAGTGCTAGGATTACAGGTACAAGCTAACTGCACTGGGCCTCTGTGAGCAACTTTCATGAAGTAAACGCTTGTTGAGATACTGAGATGCTGGCAATGGGAACAGGACTATTGTGGTTAGTTTAAGTGGCTTTAGATCACCCTCAGTCCTATAAGAGTTTTGTATTAGTTTACTGAGAGACCAAAACTAGGCTTAGCCAAACAAAGCAAATCCTTATAATCTGAACCATGAGACTGTTATTGAAACTAAGAGAATTTTAAAAACTAGTTCTTTGATGTTATAGGCTGAATTAATTGTGTTATTTCAAAATTCATATGTTAAAGGCCTAACCCCAGTACCTCAGAGGTATTTGGAGACCTTTAAAGAAGTGATTAAGTTACAATGAGTAAAATGAATCCATTAGAATGGGCCCTAATCCAGTCAGACTAGTGTTCCTGTTATAAGTGATCAGGAAATCTCGTAAGATCTGTTAGACACCTCAATACAAGGATAGGAAATTTTGTTAATTCAACATTTATTAATCACACACACGCAACTCTGTGGACTAGAAACCAAAACACACAAACTAGAAACTAGAAAAATGAGTTATGTCCACATTTAAAAAGTGAAACATTTATACATTTCTCACTACAGTTATTCTCAAGTTTTATCTCACACAGTACAGCATGAAACAATCACAGCATAAATATTATTCAAGTAAAGTGCTATTTAAAATAGCTGCACATGAGTAATTAAGACATTGGGATCCAATCTTCAGAGAAAAAAATCGTGACACAATTTTGAGTTCACAACTGAAGTTAATAACAGCATAGATTTGTTTACATTTGCTTCTAATCTTTATTTTCAACTGAGCCTCTCTGTAAGAATAAAGGTAGGAATGGGAAGAAGAAACACCACTTGACATTAAATCATATTTAAAAGCCACTCAAACAGATGAAACTAACAGATTGCAATCAGCTCTTTAAATGAGAATCCCTGCATAGCTGGAGGAAGTACATGGAGTAGTTATTTTTTCAAGGCCAGCAGACTCTCATTATCTGGTTAATTTCATTTGAGTTACAATTGCTGGCATGTCCCTGCTGAGAGTTTGTGGTAGCAATGCCTGGAAAAATACTTTCTTCACAGGGGGTGTTAAATAAAACGAAATAATGCCTGATAAACATGGGAAGGTTAATAACTCCCTTTTGGTTTAGAGCAGAGGCTGACAGCAGACTTTTTCTTTAAAGAGCCAAATCATAAATATTTTAGGCTTTGCAAGGTACACTATCTGTGTCCCACCTATTCAGCTCTGCCAAGAAAGCAGTGACACACCATACCAGAAATGACTGGGTATGGCTATGTTGCCATAAAATTTTATTTATGGACACTAAAATCTGAATTTCATATAACAATGTATCATGAAATATTGTTCTTCTGATCTTTTCCCCAACCATTAAAAAATATAAAAACCATTCCTAGCTTACAAAAACAGGCAGCAGGGCGGCGCCTGTGGCTCAAAGGAGTAAGGCGCTGGCCCCATATGCTGGAGGTGGCAGGTACAAACCCAGCCCTGGCCAAAAGAAAAACCAAAACTGCAAAAACAGGCAGCAGGCCAGGTTTGTGAAACCCTCATCTAGTGTTTCTTTACTACTTCATATTGTAAAATACACTTAAAAAAAAACCTCATCTATTACACATAACGACTTTATTAAAAAATAACAAAAAAAAAGTTCATTTAAAAATATTTGTCTTTCTTCCCACAACCCAGAACCATTTTACTAAACAATATCTATTTGATCAAGATTATTACAATGAGTCTCTGGCCTTCAATTTACGTACTTAGTGAGCCAAATGCAAGAAAACTCAAAATTTACCACCCAGCCAAGGAATCTCTTGGCGATGAAGTTAGAAATTCATTGGAAAGTATTCCTTCACATATCTTAGCAGCAGTAATTTAGGCTTCTAAAAAAATAATGTGGGGGGTGGCGCCTGTGGCTCAAAGGAGTAGGGCGCCAGCCCCATATGCCAGAGGTGGCAGGATCAAACCCAGTCCTGGCCAAAAACAGCCAAAAAAATAAAATAAAATAATAATGTGGGCACATAAGAGTCTTACTTTGTCACCCTGGGTAGAGTTCTGTGGCATCATAGCTCACAGCAACCTCAAACTCTTGGGCTTAAGTGATCCTCTTGCCTCAGCCTCCTGAATAGCTGGGACTATAAGCATCTACCATAAAGCCTGGCTAGTTTTTTCTATTTTTAGTAGAGATGGGGTCTCGCTCTTGCTCCAGGTGGTATTGAACTTATGAACCAAACAATCCACCTGGCTTGGACCCTCAGAGTGCTAGGAGTATAGGCATGAGCCAGTGCCCAGCCAACATTTATATTCTCAAAAGACAAAAGATGTATATACCTAAACCTTAAGTAATTTGACTGTTACATAAATTACCTGAAAATCAAAACTATACAAATAAAGGGCAGAAACTAACTGTCAAAATGCTGAGTATGTGAGTCTTGACGGGGCCTGGGCAGTGTCACTAGAAGGCAGATTTCAGTTCCTTCTTCTCCTGGGGGAGGTTGGGAGTCAAGCTGGTGTGATGCAGGCCACAAGCCAGGTGCCTCCAAGGTGCCCCACAAGGACCTTCCAGACCTCTTGTTATTCAACCACACATGCCCAGTGGCTCAGTGGGGGCTGCATCCAGCACCACATTCATTCATGTTCCCCTTCCACTACCCAGGACAGACTGTGAATGCAGTCTGCACACGGACGGGGAAAGGAAGGACCTCCACCTGTTTGGCCAGGACAGCCGTTATTCTTATGGGGATGGGAGGCATGTCTAGAAGAGGCTTAAATTTTCTTAATTGAAGTTTTTCCTTCAAAGTCAGAGGCAACACCAACTGGAGGGGTTTTGTTTCTTGTGTTATCTGAATGATAAACTGCAAAAACTTATTAGATAAAAGGTGCCTGAAATTCAAGGTCTCAGGTGTTTAATTATGCAAATCCTTTTTCCTTTTGCGATGACTATGGTAATGTAGTATGTGGTGTCCACTACAGCAGGACAGAGGAGCAGGCTACATGTGGTGGGCCCTCACTCGGGCCTAGCACGCTGGGCAGACGGGCACCAGCCTCCCCTCATTTTGGCAAAGCTATTGCCAGTGCACAAGGGAAGAGGTGAGAGGCACTGCTTAGAACAATGGCCTCTGCACTTATTACAAATTTTCATATTTATGCTAAGTAGTTTCACTTTCTCTCAGACTCACAAATCCCGTCAAGCTAAGTGAGGTCTGAATAAGACCCTCCCCTCTGCACATGGGAGGGGAGATACATGTCCATGGCAACAAGGCTGCCACTGAAGCCCCCTCAGCCCCCACAGTGCCTGGGAGCCTTTGGTCCCACCAAGCTGACTAAGCTGACTCTGCTGTTTCTTGCTTAATGCTCCAGCTTTTCTCCAAAAGGAAACAAAACAAAGTGGTGAATAGAACAGAAATGAAAATACAATCTTTAAGTGGTAAATTTAGGACAGTGAAGATTTCACTTAAAAAAATGGCCCCCAAACAAGGAGAGGTACACCTTCATTTCTCACAGAAGCCAGGCAATTCTGTGCTATTTTAAACATCTTTTAAAAAATCATTAATTCAACCTCTGGATACACAGTGTCTTCAGTACTGGGCTGGCAGATGCCAGGGAAGGGGGTGCTGTGATCCCTGACCTGCCTGTCAGTCACAGTCAGGGGTCTCCTCACCAAAGGGGTCTCCTCACCAAAGGGCACTCCACTGAGGAAACAAGCCTTCTGGGCCCATGTTCTATAGCCATGTGGGAGATGGCTCTGCCACTGCCCAGGCAGTGATCAAGCCTTTGTGATGGCCCACAGGGCCTGGCCTGCCATGTGTAGACTTTGCTCTGAGGCAGCCAGTGCTTCCGGAGGGGCCGCTGGCTCTCCTGGAGTCTGTAGCCACAGGCATGTGGCATGGTTTGGTCCCCAGTTAGGTAAGGGGAGGGGTAGGATTTACACCTGCTTAAGATTACAAGGACTAGATGAGTTTTGAAAAATTCCTAATTCTGATACACTATTAGTCTATTTAAAATAACAAATGGCATGTCCTTACATATGTAGGTAAGCCTCCTGTTTTATTTCTTTACAGAACTGGAGAATCCTATAAGCCTCCAAAACACACATACTTGAGTTCCAGGTACTCATCGATGCCATACTTGGACCCCTCTCGCCCAAGGCCAGACTGCTTCACTCCACCAAAAGGGCACTCCACCGAGGAAATCAGTCCTTCATTTACGCCGACCATACCAACTTCCAGCTGCTCTGCTACTCTCCAGATCTGGGCTGGGTCTTGAGAGTAAAAATAACCTGTCATAGGGACATAAGGAAATATAAGGCATATAGAATATTCATTCAAGACATCATGTATAAAGCTAAGGACACCAATGATGACAATCTGTCTAGTCACTTGGGCCTGGAATCCTCCCTGCTCTCAGATAAAGCCTCAAGTTGGTCCTGTGTACTTCTCCAACCCGGACCCTTTGGGAATCATCTTTTGCTCCCTTTCTACTCTCACCAGGGCTCTCACTTCTCCTATGAGGACCCAGCTCCTGTTTTTGACTATTCAATCCTACACACCTGTTAGATTTTCACAAGATATTTTTGCCTAAACTTTTTTGGTAAATACTTGTTATCCATAAAATAAGGTTAAACTCTTTAGTGGGAATTCAACGCCTGCTTAATGCAGTTTTTTTTTTTTTGAGACAGAGCCTCAAGCTGTCCCCCTGGGTAGAGTGCCATGGCATTACAGCTCATAGCAACCTCCAACTCCTGGGCTCAAGCGAGTCTCCTGCCTCTGCCTCCCAAGTAGCTGGGACCACAGGCGCCCGCCACAACGCCCGGCTATTTTTTGGTTGCAGCCATTATTGTTGTTTGGCGGGTCCGGGCTGGGGATTCGAACCCGCCACCTTAGGTGTACATGGCTGGCGCCTTAGCCGGTTGAGCTATAGGCGCCGAGCCAGCTTAATGCAGTTTTAATCAACATTTTCAGCTTTACCTTCTACCATGCTAATCATCAACCATCTTTTTCAAACTTTTCAACCAAATCCTTCTCTCTCTTACTTTGCCTCTGATCTCCCTTGGTCCCCTCTGCCCATAATCTCTCTCCTCCGATCTCTGCACAGCCAGAATCCTGCCTATGGTTTATGGCCTAGTAAAGGCCATGGCGCCCTCCACCATCATCCCATCCCATTGAGAAGGAAAGACACAAATGTTGAACTTGGTGTTGCAGAAGCCCATGTGCACGCATCTCACCCCAGAGTCTGTGAGCTCCAGCGGTACCTTACATATCCCTGTATTTCCCTCGGTTCATTCACTGAAGATGCTAACATACAATTTTCTCAGGGTTATAGGGTGCATACTGTGGCCACCTTGGCCATCTCCAAACTGAAAGAATGACAGCCACTCAGTGAGCACCCTCTGCATAGGCTCGTCACTCCTTTCACTGTCCCTGACACTCTCTGCTGATGCCTGAGGTTTCCTCTTCAGCCTTTTGGAAACCGAGCAAAATAAAAGAAAAAGCACTTAGAGTTTCTGGGCATTAATTGCTAAGATCATGGGACTATGCGATGTGTGCAGTTCTCACCAAGAATAATCTGCACTCTCTCTTCTCCCCTTGGCTGCCCCCACACCCCAGTTCTAACCAGAGAGAGCCAAAATATATGTCACGGGGACCAAGCTAAAGAACAAGTCCTTGCACAAATCCACCCCTGTCCTTGGAAAGCAACAACACACACACCCCACTGAAGTTTCTTTCTCACAAACTAGGGAGATGTTTAAAAGGCCAAGTCTGGCATTAGCTTGAGACAATGGTCATGACTGCTACTCAGCAAGGATAAACACTTACCTGCTAACCCAACGTCAGTTGCATTAGCAATGGTGACGGCCTCCTCCTCTGTATTGAACCTGCCAAGGTTAAGATAGGGCATAAGGAAAATCTCTAAGGGGAGCATAAAGAAAACCAGCTTTCTTCTGATCTGTTTCCCAGACAGTGGCAAGGGATGACCCAGAGTTTGGCAAAGAGATCCAAAGGCAGAGTACAGAAGAAAACAGCACCATTCCCAGATAACTCAGTGCATAAGGTTGGCACGCTCAAAGCAAAACTGGCTTTGTCTTTTCTAAAAAGCAGGCCAACTCGCAGGGGACCGTGGCATATCCAGAATACCAAACAAAATCCCTTAAAAAAGGATTACTGTTCTTGGTACCCACTGCAAGTATGTAACAATTGAACAAATACTTTAGAAGCAAGCATAATGAAGCCGAAAGCAAGTTGCTCAGGGGAGATCAGACTGGTGACCACTTGCTACTACCACTTCCTACTGCTTAATAATGTGTTGGTGCTTGAAGTCTGCTCCTCTCTGAAATGAAGGCGTGCACCAAAGCCCCATGCAGTCTCTTCTAGCTTTATAACTGTACTTCAAGAATAAGATGTGAATTATAAGAGGGACTTGACCTAACAAATGCAATCAGTATAACCTAATTCTTTGTACCCTCAATGAATCCCAAACCATAAAAAAAAAAAAAGGTATGTTTTTTTAAATTTGTTCCAGAATTGCAACTAGACCAAAGTGTTCTAAGCAGCCCAATTTCTAAATTCAGAGGTCTCCCAGCAGCAGGAGCCAGTGGTCACTCTGCAGGGCTTGCAGAGGGAGATGGAGCAGAGCTGGCTCAGAAAAGCTAACTTAAGGGAACATAGGTAAGGAGCAAAGCCTGAACTAACACGAAAGTTGACTCCAATGCCTGAACACCCACCATTGCATCCTTTCAGCTTCTTGTGAGAACGTCCAGTTAGCATTTTAGGTATAATGTTTTTATTAAAACAAGGATGAAAATTCTTCAAGTGGTTCAGTTCCTCAAGGGTGGAATAAAAATAAGCTTCATTAGAAAGACAGTGACAAAGCCAGTCGAGCATATGATACAATAGCTTCCTGGTCCTGGACAAGATGGCAGAGGTGGTGTGTCTGCTGAACTAGCAGAATGGGTTCTGCCCGCTCTCTCTGGGAATACAATGCTGGAGATGCCAGGGAGAGAAAAAGACAATTGTGCTTCAAAAAACTTCAATCAGCAGCTAACCCCCCAAAGGCAAGACACTTCTGGGAGCCAAGAAGGTGGCTGGATCCTGGGGCCAAGGGTGGCCTCAAGTGAGAGAGAGCTCAGGCCACCTATGAAGAGTGGACAGGGCAACAGCTCTGTGGGGCCTTGAGGGTGGGGCTGCACCTGTCCCAACACACTTGTGAGCTCCAGGGGCTCCTGCCTCCACATCTGCATCCCTGAATCGATGCCAGGTTGCTGTGGGGCAGAAGAGCAGCAGGGTCAGCTTGGGCAGCGGTAGCTACACTGGCCACCCAGCAGCAGAGCCGGGGCCTGTTCTCCCCAACCTGTGACAAGAGAGGGCATTGCAGAAAACCCCAGCAGCCAAGAATGCCTGGGGCAGGGCGAGTGGCATTGAGACAGGCGCCTTCCCTGAAGCTCAATGCTTTGCCCTCCAAATGCATGAGAAGAAGCACAAACTAAGGCCTATGCTTTTTACTACAATTCCATCGCAGATATCATAATTGAAGGCTGCTAACAGTTCAAAGCACTAAAGATGAGCCCCCAGGGAAAACCGTAATACATCTGAGGAACTCCAAGACTGAGGAAGATAAAAGAGCACAACCTATCCCAGAGCAGGCAGAAACGGTGGAACAGAATAAAGATGTAAGACAAGGATAAATATCCACAGCAAAATAAGGGAGAATAAGGCAGCAGGAAGAGCCAATCACGGGAAGAACTGGAGATGGAAGGATGGAAAAAATACTTGTTGAGATAAAGAAGGTGGTGTGTCTGTTGAACTAGCAGAATGGGTATACGTGAAGCATAGATTATTAAGGGGGCTGATGAAGGGAAGGACTCTCAGGGACATCGGGAATGGATGAAGAGATAGAATGAATAAACAAAAGCTAAAAGAATCAGGGGATGGAAGCAGAAGTACCCCAGTAATAGATTTCTTGGAAGGCTGGAGAAGGATAAATGGAGGGGAGTAGAATGTTTGGAAAAATGATGACCAAGAATTTCCCAGGACTAAATAAATCTCTTAGATACTGAAGAAATAGACTAGGACCACAAACTGCAAAAGCTCACAGCGTACCACAAAGTTTAGGCATAAAGTTTTATCACAGTAAAATTTAAGAATATCAAAGAATAAGAGGAATTCCAGAAATTTTCAAGGAGAAAAAATAGGTCCCTTTCAAAGGAGCCGGAACCACACATCAGATTTCCCAGCAAGCACCCTGGACATAAGAAGATAAAAGAGTGATATTTTCGAAGTGTTAGACCTAGAATTTTACCCAAGTGAATTTTATTATTTACCCATGAACGTGAGACCAAAGTTCATAAAAGATCACAGAAAGTTCATTTCCTATGGACTCCCATGAAAGGATCCTTTGAGGATGTGCTCCCTTAGGAAGGACAATGAATTCAGCAGATAGCAGGAAGAAAAAAAAAAGAATTTGATAAAATTTAAGATCTGAAGTGATGATTAAAAAAACTCCTAAGGTGAACTCTGGTCTTCTGTTGACTTGACTCAGCACGGCTCTCAGCCTCCCCCTGCCATCAAAACAGCGCACAATTCTCTGTACGGGTTTCCTTTGCCTTCCTGTTCTCTCTCTTGTCCTCCTACTGGTTGGATGATCTTACTTGATCACTGGTGCCAGAGGCCCAAAAGTTTCTTCGTGAGAGCACAGCATGTCCTGGGAGACATTGCTGAGCAAGGTGGGCTCGAAGAAATTTTTTCCAAGCTGGTGTCGCTTCCCGCCTGTCACGAGGGTGGCCCCTTTGGAGACTGCATCACTCACATGTTTCTCCACCTGCATGATGATTAAAAGAAGAGCTTTCCAAAGGACACAATCTCTTAGAATTTTTAAATTGCAGAAAACTGTAACTGGTTTTCTTTTTTCTTTATTTTTAATATAAACACAAAGCATCCTTCTGGGCAGAAGGAATCACATTTGCAGAGAGACAGAGGCCAGAAGAGGGAACACACAAATCTCCATTGGTCAGGATGGCTTACTTTCTATAGTTGACGTATTTTAAGTAATTCTATTTAACTAATTTAACAGGGGCCTACTTCCTTGACCCCCGATAAAATCTGCCCTGCCTTTTTCTTGTCAATTAATGTGATCTGCAGCGTTTCTTTCCTGGAACCCACCTTATGACAGTGTATACCTTACAGACAACACAATGGATTACTTTTATAAATAAAGCAGTTTATAACAAACCTTTCTCCACCAAAAAGAAACCCTGCAGGTGTGCTGGTTTGACACCTTAGCATATAGTGCCGACTAGAGGACAGTGTCTGCATCTTGATTTAGAGAAAAAAAGGACAGCCTGGTTCCCAACCTAGCTGTGAACTAGAATAATCTGGGGCACTTAAAAAGCACCAATGCCTTGGCCTCTGTTGTCGTTAAAGGTACAAGGTGTATTGAAAAACACCATTTAGCCACTTAAACCACAGCTAGTACAGACCCAAACTGCCTTTGCTAGATGAGTGAGCACCCCTGCTTTATATCCAGGGTTCAAAAGCCACCTCTGAAATACAAGTGGTATCAGCGTAAACTCTGATGTGTCTTTCTCTACATAGAGTAATCTTAAGGTAATAACTAGAAATTTATCAGATCTCTGTCAAGCCTTGATGTGGGTTCGGCTAAATTGACTGCCCACTGGGCGGGGACAGGAAGCCAAGGAACAGAGAGAGGTCTGCTCGTGCTTCCCACGCTGGGCACTGACTCGGCTCTAACTTCATTTTGGTTCCCGGGTGAGTGCTGGTTCCAGCGTGCCTTCCTCTGGCCACCTCTCCTCCCTTCCTTCCCTAAAAACAATCTCCAGTTACCAATGGCTGCCTGATTTTAAATATTCCCCATTTAAAAAAAAAGATAAAATTTATTCTATCAGTAAAGACTTATCCAGGTAGCATACTAGATATTTAGTATTACAAGAAAGTTCCTTGGGAGACTCTCAAAAAGAGTGGTATTTTAAACAGTAGAGTAAGAATGGAATCTCACCTAGCTGGTAGTCAAGATTATGACTTTTTTTTTCAATAAACAAATCCTTCCTAACAGTAACTTCCTTTTACTACCTAAATCCTGCACACTACCTAGCCCTGCTAGGATGCTTCCATTAAGGAGTCTACCGGATATTTTGTCATCAAGAGAGGAAAAAACAGGCCATTGCCAGAATTACAGCTGAAGCATAAACCATTTTATAAACAAAGTTGATCTTCTTTTCCTTTTAGGTGTTCCAAAAAAAATCAAAGGGTGGGGTTTGCTTTTAAATAAGGCAAGACAGCCTCAGAACTGGGGCTGCAGGGTCCAGCTTTGGGTACAAGGCTGCAGAGCCCAACAGCAGCAGGGGGGCCTTGAAGCCTGAGTGGTGGTACTGGAGCCTTGAAGGCAGAGCCACAGGGTCCAACAGCACCAGGGGATCTTGGGAGCTGGGGCCCGGGCCCCATGGCAAGGCCCACTGATGGCAATGGAGTCTTGGGTGTGGGACTAGACAGCAGTGCAGGAATCACAGGTGCAGAGCTGTGGAGGCAGGTGGTAGCTTGGGGATCACAGGAATGAGCCTACAGGGATTTCCCCCACCCAGGTCCACAGAGGCAGCTGCTGAAGGGCTTCTTAGGTGGCCTCTGTGGCAGCCGATCTGTTCCAGTCCCCCTGTTGGGGGAAGGGGGCTCAGCTCTCTCATGTGGCATGCAAAGTGTCCACTCTCCATATTCCCGCCCTAGCTGGCCAGGGCAATGTAGAGGAGGCTGCAGCAAAGCCCAGCTGTGTGCAGACCTGGTACTCTGGAACTGAGATCTTGAAAGGTATCATTTGCAGTACGCACCCTCAGTGCCATGTTGCTATACAGACTTCAAGCAGCTCCCTGATCAGCCTGTAGATCTGTGGTGGTGGCCCCTCACAGCTCAGTCCGCAGTGCCCACAGGGCGACTATGGAGCCCCAGGACTCTCTCCTCCTATCCTTACCCACATGTGGGTGCCTCCCCCAGGTACCTTCAGATCTCTTTGGATGGACTGCCTGTCACCTCCTTCTTCTTCACTCTGAATGCTGCCCCCTCCCGCCCCCACATTGCTTCTCTGATGATTCATGTGCTCTTTTCAAGAAGTCCCACCTGCAGGTGGGTATCTACCTACAGCTTTTGGTTCTCTCCTCGAGAGCTACGTGCATGGGCTGCTTCTAGTCCACCATCTTCCTAACTCCACAAAGTGGCTTTTTAATTTTGACCTTTCAACACCATTTATGTCTTTGCTTGTAATATTAATTTTAATTGAAACACAACAATACAAGCAAAATTTATGGGTACAGTGTGATATTTTGGTACATGTATATAATGTGTAGTGATCAAATCTGGATAATTTGCACATTCATCACCTCAAACATTTGTCATTTCTTGGTTTTGGAAACATGGAAAATCCTATCTTTTAGCTATTTTGAAAATATACAGTAAATTGTTACCTGCAGTCACCCTGTCGTGCTCTGGAACACTAGAACATAGTCCTCCCATCTAGCTATCATTCTGTATCCAATAGAGAACCTTTCCCTATCCCGTCCACCCTCACTCTCCTAGCCAAGGTGCTTTTCACTAAGCTTTTGACATTGACACCATGAAGTTTACTTTACCAGATAATAACTGGTAAGGTAAGTGAACTTACCTTTTCTACTGCCTTCTCATTAATTAACGGGCCCTGAGTAGTTCCCTCCTCAAATCCATTCCCTACATGCAGGGTCTTCTTCATTGCCTCAGCAAATTTTTTGACAAAGGAATCATGGATACCCCTTTGCACCAAGAATCGGTTTGCGCAAACACATGTCTAGACAGAAGACAAAAACAAACCCACATAGTTTTTCAGAGCCACTGACCCAGACAATAAACGTGTGACTGCTGCCACCGCTCTGGGAACACACTTCCCCAGGGCGTCTCGTCCTGCGTCCAACCTGCTGTTTTCCTTCTCACATGGGTTCGGCCCCAAAGATAAAAGCTCTGAGTCAGTGTTTTGTTGCTCTCCAGCTCCTTCCACAGCTGCCACACATTTGTGGTCAAACAGGTAAATAAGTATAAGGACTTGTGTGCACAAAGAAAAAAAAAGCCATCCCATGTTTTTTTCAAATGGCTTGAATAACAGAAAAAAAAAAAAAAGGCTGCAAGCTTCCTGAGAGATGGTGATGCTGCAGGACTGTGAGCAGAGGCTGCGAGGAAAGAGGCCAGACACTGACGTACATCCTTTAGCTTAAAACTTCTGAGCAATTGCCTGAGTCTTAAAAATGGACACAAGACCATTCCTTTTTTTTTTTGAGACAGAGCCTCAAGCTGTCCCCCTGGGTAGAGTGCCGTGACATCACAGCCCACAGCAACCTCTAACTCCTGGGCTCAAGTGAGTCTCCTGCCTCAGCCTCCCAAGTAGCTGGGACCACAGGCACCTGCCACAACGCCTGGCTATTTTTTGGTTGCAGCCGTCATTGTTATTTGGTGGGCCCAGGCTGGATTCGAACCCGCCGTCTTAGGTGTATGTGGCTGGCACCTTAGCCACTTGAGCCACAGGCGCTGAGCCAAGACCATTCCTTCTTTATTGAAAAGGTCTTGTGTATTTTTTTCTACTTAGTATTTTTAAATTATAAAATATAACCATATTCTAGGAAACCCAGCTTTTGTTGACATATTTGCTTCTTATATTTTTCTTAATCATGTATTTTCCTACTAGAAGCAAAGTACATATGATTTTGTGTCCTGTGCCTTTTTATTGGCTTAAAGCAACATACCCCAAAGCTGCACTATATTGTAGAGTTATACTCTTTGCATTTTGTGTTTGTAAAGGAAACATACCTGTTTCTGACAAAACCAAGCTTATTTATGTTACCAAGAGCCAAAGCAAGAATGAAAGTTGCTTAATATTAACTTATTAATTACTGTTAATAATTTAATGCCACAAAAACATTTCATCACTTTTCCACAATATAACCTTTCAGGAGTATTTATATCTGCTTCTGGAATGCATTTAAAATTGCATATGGATGGTACTTTTAAGATGAAGCACTTAAGAACAAAGATCCTGGCAGGAGCTTGGACAGAAACCAGGAGATAAGACCTCTGGTTCAGAGTCCCAGCTCCTCAGCAGCGCTGGAACTGTGGTCCAAGGATGTCTGACCTCAAGTCACTTACACTTTCTCAGAGTTTCATTTCCTATAAAATGTGAGGTTTATATCAGATTAAGTATGAAGGTCTCTGCCAGATCTAACATTCCAGAATTTCCTATGAAGACATGAGCTTAGACCTCCATTCTCCCAGGATGGCATGGACAGTCCTTGGACACACTGCTGATACAGGGCTGCCCCCTGTCATGGGCACCTCTGATGCCTCCTCCATCTCGGACAAGGTAGGCTCCAATAGGTCTTAGCAAGTAGCAGGGTTTTGAGTTTTTCCAGGCATCATCCTCAACATTTTCTTACCTTCTTTCCCTTAAGACTGTGGGCCTCTGAGACCCTCCCTAGCTGATAAAGGCTGTTTTCTACCTGAAGAAACAATTATATCAGTTGAGAAAAGCCCAAGGAGAGGAAACCATGAAAATAATTAGTTTCAAAAGTTGGAGAGGGAAGAGAAAAGAGAACTATTTGACTAAAAGACATTTGCTGTTTAGGAAACTCTTCTAAGAAAGCCAGGGGCTTTATGTTACTTTTTTCTGGACCCTTCTTGCTTTGCCAAAAAATAAGGCACTTATTAACTGTTTGTCAAAAGAGACAAAGAGGTTTCCTTCTAGGAGATGGGTGAGGCAGTGGCAATGGAGGATCTTTGTAACACACACACATACCCTGAAAAGCTCTACAAAACTCACCTGCCCAGAGTTCCTAAATTTAGACGCCAGGGCCCCTGCTACAGCCTGGTCCACATTGGCACTGTCAAATACTATGAACGGAGCAAGACCACCCAGCTCCATGGAGACCTTTTTCACGGAGTTTGCCGCATGGTGCAACAGGATCTGAAAGAGAGGACAGAGCTCCGTGAGCACTGAAATCAACTAGCAAGACTGTGAAGCCTTCACTGTAAAAAATTACCCAACAGCGAAAGCAGCAAGGTACACAATAGTGTATCTGGGATAATTTTTTGCATAAGAAAAAGGAGAAACAAGAATATATGTTTATTTTTGAGGGCTGACATAGTGGCTCATGCCTATAATCCTAGCATTCTGGGAGGCCAAGGCAGAGCTCAGGAGTTCGTGACCAGCCTAAGTAGGAGCGAGACCCTGGCTCTAAAAAAACAGCTGGCATTGTGGTGGGCACTGGTAGTCCTAGCTACTCCAGAGGCTGAGGCAAGTGAATTGTTTGAGCCCAGGAGTTTGAGGTTGCTGTGAGCTATGACACCACGGTACTCTGCCCAGGGTGACAAAGTGAAACTCTGTGTCAAAAAAAAAAGAATATATACTTATATTTGCTAGCATTTTATAAAGAAACACTGGGAAAATAACAAGAGACTAAAAATAATTACTTACAGAAAAGGGGAAGGGAGTCAGCTAGGGTAAGGGTGAGATTTCTCAAGTTACACATGTTAACACAGTCTTGGTGTTTGAACCATATGTATATTACCTATTCACAAACATTGTGATAGGCTTAAAAATTGTAATATGAAGATAAGGTAATAAAATAGCCCAGAATCCCACAACCCATAGCTTACCACTGATAACATTTTAAGGTAATCCATTCAGAATTTGGCCATGCAGTTTCAAGTATATGTACTTTTTTAAAAAAAGAAAACAGGCTTGGTGCCTGTAGCACAGTGGTTACAGCACCAGCCACATACACTGAGGGTGATGGGTTTGAACCCAGTCTGGGCCAACTAAACAACTGCAATAACAACAATAAAATAGCTGGGTGTTGTGGCGGGTGCCTGTAGTCCCAGCTACTTGGGAGGCTGAGGCAAGAGAATCACTTAAGCCCAAGAGTTGGAGGTTGCTGTGAGCTGTGATGCCATAGCACTCCACCCAGGGTGATATAGTAAGAATCTGTCTCAATAAATAAAGAAAGAAAGAAAACAGGATGGTATAATTAAACAGTTTTGTAACCTGCTCTATCTTTCCAATTAACCATATATCTGGAACTTCTTAACATGTTCATAACACTTTATATCTTGCTCCTTTAACATAACACTATAATGTGAAAATCTTCTCATGTTAGCATATGTGCTTCTAGAACATTCCTTTAGGTGCACATTATTCCATTTCACAGCTGTTACTTAATTTATTTATCCAGCCCCCATCTGTTGAACATTTAGGATGTTTCCAATTCTTGCTATTAAAGATAACATGCAATTATTCCTTTAGGATAAATGTATAGAATTTCTAGTTCAATGCATATTGTAAGGCTTTTGATCATATGTAACTATTTGGCTCTAAATATCCAAGAAGAGATTTTATGGCTTAAGAAAGCAGCTCAGGGATGTTAAAATGAGTTTTTTCTTTTTTTGGTTTCTTTTTTTTTTAAATTTCAAAACATTAAGGGGGTATAAATGTTTACATGGGTCACTTCTGTAATGATTGAGCCCCAGCTATAGGTGTCCCTATCACCCAAATAGTGTTAATTGTACCCATTAGGTAAGTTTATTTTGTCCCTTTCTCTCCCTGCCCCATTGCTATTTTTCTTTTTTTTGAGACAGAGTCTCAAGCTATTGCCCTTGGTAGAGAGCCGTGGTGTCACAGCTGACAGCAACCTCAAACTCTTGGGCTTAAGCGATTCTCTTGCCTTAGTCCCCCAAGTAGCTGGGACTATAGGCACCTGCCACAATGCCCAGCTATTTTTTGGTTGCGGTTGTCATTGCTATTTGGCAGGTTTTGACTGGATTCCAACCTGCCAGCTCCAGTGTACGTGGCTGGTGCCCTAGCCGCTGAGCCACAGGTACCGAGCCCGCCTCACTGACTTCTACTGAGTTTTACTTCCCTCTGTGCACATGTGTGCTCATCAGTTAGTTCCGTAAGTACATGTGGTGTTTGTTTCTCCATTCTCAAGATACTGTTTAAACTCTTTATTGCAAGATACTAGGTCTTTGTCCAGTCCTGGCTACAGGAAAGATGGAACCACCTGAGGTGTTCAAAGGAAACGGTATTCACAGCCCAAGGTGGCTGTACTAATGGTCCTCCAGGAGATGCACACCTTGAGGCTGTGAGTTTTTGCGACAGGACCCCTGGTAAAAATCTAGAAAGGCTGGAAAGCTGGGCCTGTGCTGGCACTTCACTGTGTGCCAAGGTGTTACCATTCCAGCTCAGTTGGTGGTAAGGATTTTCTCACTGAAATGTTACTACTCAACAAAGCAGTGCAAGTTTTAAGATTAAACACATTTCTTGGACTCAATATAGCAGCTATTTTAATTTTAAAGAAATGCCACCTGCTAGGTGTAAAAAACATTCTCACTTGTGGGTCAGTCCCTTTCACCTCTTCCTGACCTTGTCTCCTGGTGTCTGTCCCTCCACATGCACTACCCATGTGCCCTGTGACAGTGTCTTCTCCCCACTCAGGATGGCTTGCCATGGGCCCTGGAGTACTACGTGAATTCCTGACACCGTGTCATGAAGTGTTTCAGCTCCACTTCCCACTGCTGACCTCCTCAGCCCACCGCTTCCAAAGACAGAACATGATTGGCCTGGTTTACCTTTCTATGGCAGGCCACTTGTCCTAGGTCACTGGCCAGCCAGCAAATTATTTCCCTTAAGTCAAAGATCACTCATGTTTCAGTTCTCTGTGCAGAAAAAGCTGAGGTGGTGTACACTATAAAACACGGCTGCTGCCTCCTCTGTAGGGTTCCAGGAGCGGTGTTCCCCCAGCAAAGGGCAAAGGGCAGGCAGGCACCTCTAGAACAAGCTCACGGTGTGGGCTTCAGTTATGAGGTAAGATTCTGTGCCCTGAAACCAGGAGCTCGGCCACTGATCTCTGTGAAGACCAGCTCTGAAGAGGCCCTTGCAATAGACATGAGTAATTCTTTTAAATATAATTATCACTTTGTCCTTTAAGTCACTTAAGGTGAATCACTGTCCCGGGCAAATAGGAGCAAAGCTAGATTTGCTGGGAACATACAGTTGACATTTTCCTGGATACCTGTCAGATGATGAGAAGTTGCCAGGAAACCTGAAGGAAGATAAGGACTGGGGCCCTCCACCCAGTATCCCGGGAATGTCTCTGGCTTAAATGGCAAAGGTTTTACAACCCTTTCTCTCAGGCCTCTTTTTTTTTTCTCTCCTTCACAGTAACATCGGAATCCCTCTTTCATTTACACTGATCCATGACTCAGGGGCATAGCAGTTTATGAATTAAAAAATTCCTATTTCTGGCATGAACGAACAGTAGGATCCCAAAGTGCATCTCCCGGTGGGTGAGTTAACGGCGTGACAGAAGTAGTGGTGACTGGGAGGTATTACCACTGCTTTACTCCTTCCTCTTCTCAAGCTCTCTAAAAATGACCACAAGTTCACAGAAACTTTCCAATTAGATTTAAAATTAGATTTATTTATTTATTTTTGAGACAGAGTCTCACTCTGTCACCCTTGGTAGTGCTGTGGCATCACAGATCAAACTCATGGGCTCAAGCGATCCTCTTGCCTCAGCCTCCCTGAATAGCTGAGACTACAGGTGCCCACTACCGTGCCTGGCTGGTTTTTCTGTTTTTAGTAGAGACCGATCTCTCTCTTGCTCAGGCTGGTCTTGAATTCCTGAGCTCAAGCAATCTACCCACTCAGCCTCTCAGTGTGTTATGATTACAGGTGTGAGCCACTGTGTCTGGCCTACGTGATTTTTATCTGCTGTGTTTATACTCCTGTCCAGCATGAGTACGGATACATATATATGTATATATAACTAGAGAAAAGTATACCATCCGGAAAGAGATACCATAAACAAAAACTTTTCACCTACCTGGATTCTTTTCTCTTTTGTTTTTGAGACAGTCTCACTCTGTTGCCCCCATGCTAGAGTGCAGTAGTATTAGCCTCGCTCACAGCAACCTCAAACTCCTGTATTCAAGCACTCCTCCTGCCTCAGCCTCCTGTGTAGCTAGGACTACAGGCACCTGCTACAATGCCTACTAAATTTCTATTTTTAGTAGAAACAGGGTCTCACTCTTGCTCAGGCTGCTTTTAGAACTCCAGAGTTCAAGCAGTTCTCCTGCCTTGGCCTCCCAGAGTGCCAGGATTATAATTGTGAGCCACTGTGCCTGGCTGACTTTTTTCTTTTGGACATTTGAAAGGATAAATTGAAATCTGCTCACAGAAATACATATGAAGTTTTGAGGAAAGAACTTTTCAACATTCAAGGGGAAAAAAACTAAAAAACAAAAAACGAGAAGATACCTTTCCATTTCTGTAAATACTTTTATACTAAATACAATTTTTGTTCAAGTCTAAGGCATCCATTTCAATATGAATTGTTTTTTCTGACTCTCTAATTCTAGATTATGAAAAAAAGCACAAATTCAAGATTGAAAAAATAAAATAGATACCTTTAACTATGTCACATACAAGAAATAGTGAAAAATAATGAGCACCTTGGGGCCTCAATTTGTTTAATATCATCAAATAGGAATGTACATTATATCACATAAGAAACATCATTCAAAATAACTCCAGAGGATGATGATCAGACATTACTTTTACACTCTGCTGGATTTTCTAAAAATGGTGACTGAGATGAAAGTCTTTTAAGCTCCATAAAGAGAAAATATTAGAATGGAATTTGTTTTCTTTGAGACTGAAGTGACATACCTTTCCTGTAGCTGTTGAGCCAGTAAAGGAAATTTTGGGCACCAGAGGGTCAGTACAAAGTGCTTCTCCCACTTCCTTGGTCTTCTTTCGAGAGCAGGGAATAACATTGTACACACCTGGAGGAATTCCCGCCTGGTTTGCAAGCTACAAGGAGAAATAGCAAATTATCAAAGTGAAAAAACAGAAAAGAGAAAAAAATATATGTTTAACCTAAAAGCACTGAAAAAAAAGTTAAGGTGCTCCTGGGGACTGAATAAGAATATACATGGAAGTGAAACAAGATTCCTACTAGAGCTAAAGTGACGTTCAGATTAATGTGTTGTTAGACATTACAATTCCTTAGAGCATGAGTTTCAACACCACCTTCTGTTTAAACAACGTGAAATTTCTTTCCCAAGAAAAATCAGATATTCCAAGAAAAAAGTTAGTTGATTCATCTATAGGATCAAGGATGGGAGAGTATTAAGGTGCATTTAGTAAGCACCTACTAAGTGCAGAGCAGCAGGCAAAGCCTTTCCATATGTTATTTCCTGGTGCAGTGATGAGAAGAGGGAGGCCCAGGAGGGAGAAGTGGGTTGGGATATGACAGAACCACAGCCTCCTATTGACAAGGGAGGCTGGGGAGTGACAGAACCACATGCTGACCCATAGCTGCCTGACCTGGAAACCTGCACTCTTTCTTTGGATAAGTTATATCCTGAACTATTTTAATTTCTGGAATCCATTAACAATTAGCTTGTTATATACATCTGACTGGGGATTCTGGATGGTATTAGTTACAGAGTTTTTTGAATCTCCCTAAATCTCCTTACAAAAACATCAATTAGAGAGCAAAACCAAGATATCAGAAACATTTACATGACTAGATGACAAGGTATCTCCACAAACCACAGATTATAAGTGGGCGAGGACATACCACCTACTGTGATACGATGTGGGTGTCCTGCCGGCACCTGTGTGAGAGGAAGCAGAGGGCAGGAACAGGCTGCATGAGGGACCTGAAAGCAGACAGCCCCAAACAGCCCGCAGGAGTTCAGCTGAGAACAGCAGCCATGAGTAGGAGGCCTCGCCCGATTCAGTGGGAGGCGAGTATAAGCCCAGGGAACACTGCAGTGAAGACTGCAGGGCATGAAGGGGCTAGCCCTTGGGAATCGTGTGACACAGGAGGAGAAAAGACATAAAGGTGGGGAAGGGAAGGAAGCCAGGGAATCTCAGAAAGCAAGCTGCCTTATCTTTGAATACAACATGCAAGAGAGCAAAGGGTACCCTGTGAAGGCAGAGAAGCTATTTCTAACCAGTCCTTCTACTAAGAGTTTAGGAAAGCTAACTTCACATGAAAATAAACAAAATTCTCCGAAAAGCACCGAGGTCACATCCCATACAAAGTTGTCAGGAAAAAAGAAATAAAAGAGTAAGGAGTGGAGTAACTCCTCATAGATAACGAAAGCATGACAGAAAAAGACACGCCCATAAGACAGACCACACTGGAACTTACTAGTTCAAAACAAGGTAAAAGACGATACGAAAATTATACCAAGACACAAAAGAACAACAGGAATCAGAGCTAAAAATATTTTTAGAAATGAGGTGAGGGAATACCGGAAAGAATTAGAAATAAAAGAAATAATCATTTCAGAAATGAAGACCAAACTGGAAGGACCATACATGAGAATGAATAAACGCTGCACATAAAACCTTAACAGAAATAGACGGCAAAAAGGAAGATAATTAAACATTAGGGAAAAGGATACAAGGGAATGTGACAACAAAAATTTAACTTTGGACAATAGGAGTTTCTGAAGGAGTAAAGCAAATCAAGGATGAAAAACAAATCCCCAAACTTTACAGAAATGAAGGGGCTTTGGTGTGAGGAGTGAAGAGCTTGACACAAAGTCCTCGTTGGGGAACTGAGGGATTTAGGGAGGAGCCTTCCCAGCAAACCTTGGGTCCGTACTTGTTATTATAAAGCAGGAAAAAGTAGTTAAAAGTTATTTATCAGACATTAGCACTAAAAAGGGAGAACATGGAAAGTGTCAGATAGAATGTCTTTAACTTGTTTTTGCAAAACCAAGACTAAGGAAGACTTCTGTTTCCAGGGTCAGGGGAACTTTGCAATCTGGAAAATCTTTTCCCTAACCATGAGGCTTGGTATGCCACACTTTACATACACATTTTCTTTGGAGGCCAGTTTTCTGACTTCTTGCACATATAAAACTCATGCTATTCTCATGATTCTTTAGTTTTTTCAAGTGGAAAGTGAGTCTTATGTTAAAGATCAGGGCACAATGTTCTCTACACAGAAATGAAAAAAGTTTCGAAACTACATATTGAAAGAGCACACTGCATAACTAGAGCATGGACACACAATGACCATCAAAGAGACACATTCTAGCGATATTACTGGTCATGAAAATGAACGGCAAAAAACCCCACTCACTTTTGGGTATCTAGGTAACTCCCCAAACCAAGTTGACTTATAAAGGCAAGAAATTTATCATGAGACTTTTCAAGAATATTTTATGTCATCGATAAATAGAGACTATATTTATAATAATTGAGTAAAGGAATGAGAGCCAAGGATTTTATACCAAGCAACACTGATTTATGGCTGGGTGCCTCATGCCTATAATCTTAGCACTCTGGGAAGCTAAGGATAACTTGAGGCGTGGGCAACATAGTGAGATCTGCAAATAAAAATTAGCTGGAGGGTGGTAGCATGTGCCTATAGTCCTAGCTACTTGGGAGGCTGAAGTAGGAGGATGACTTGAGTTTAGGAGTTCCAGGCTATCGAAAGCTATGATAACAGCACTGTACTCTAGCCTGGGCAACAGACGGAGATCCTATCTCAAAAACAAGTTTTAAAATCCCCCTGATTTACAGCCATAATGGACACAGACTACTGTCAACATTTAAGAACCAGAAGTATCTTTCCCATGAGCCCTTCCTGTAGAATCTTCTAGAGTATAAGGCTCAGATACCAAATGACTAGAGAGACACTGACATAAGCACTGGTGGTGAGCAATAAACATATCGCTGCTTTTGAGCTAACCAAAGGAATGTTAACAGGAAAGAGCAAGTCATGGAGTGCCTGGTGCAGAGTGCTCCAGACAGAGAGAAAAGAATAAAGAATAAAAGAATAAAGTCCAAACTGAGGGTGAGGCTGATGGGTCTGAAGAGTGTGCTGGCCAGAGTGGCCGAAGCAGATGAGTGATGAGTCAGGGGCTTGGAGGGACAGGCCAGTTCAGAGGGGTACAGAGGATACTAATACCTCATAGGGCCTGGAGGGCCACTGCAGAGACTCTGGATCTTACTCTAAGTGAGGCGAGAAGACATTTGAGGTTCCCAATCGAAGCATGACAAAATCTGACGGAATGCAGATTAAAATGGGGGTGGGGGCAGTAAATAAGAGGTTTCCTGGGGCTGGGCGTGGTGGCTTAAGCCTGTAATCCTAGCACTCTGGGAGGCTAAGGCAGCTGGATTGCTTAAATCCAGGCTGGTTCAAGACCAGCCTGAGCAAGAGCGAGAACCCATCTCTAAAACCAGCAGGGTTGTTGTGATGGATGCCTGTAGTACTCAGCTGCTTGGGAGGCTGAGGCAAGAGGACTGCTTGTGCCCAAGAGTTTGAGGTTGCTGTGAGCTGTGATGCCACAGCATTCTACGGTGGGTGACAAAGTGAGACTCTGTCTCAAAAAAAGAAAGAAACACCCATATCTTAGTGCATAGATAATGAAGGTGATGGATAGATACCATTTTTATGGTGGGCTAAAAACATACATGGGTTACAGATATCAGAAAATCCCTCACCCATTTTTTCCTTTTTTGAAAAGAACAATATCTGACTCAAAATACCATTTGATCGAGTGGCGCCTGTGGCTCAGTGAGTAGGGTGCCAGCCCATATACTGAGGGTGGTGGGTTGAAAACTGGCCCTGGCCAAACTGCAAGAAAAAAATAGCTGGGTGTTGGGGCAGATGCCTGTACTCCCAGCTACTCAGGAGGCTGAGGCAAGAAAATCACCTAAGTCCAAGAGCTGGAGGTTGCTGTGAGCTGTGATGTCACAGCACTCTAATGAGGGTGACTACATGAGACTCTGTCTCTAAAAAAAAACAAAAATACCATTTGATTAAAACACAACACCACACAGCAGCAGACACAGGCAAGGAAGGAAGCTTCAAAATGACATCTTTTTGTCCCAGATAAAAAAGTCCATTTTGGAATCAGAAGTCCAATGCATTATCCATTGCACCAAAGAGCCAGGTAGAAAACTGATTTATGGACTGTGTTGGCTCTGCACAAACACAGAGAGAGAGAGGCTCACCTCAGCCAGGGCCAGGGCAGAGAAGGGCGTGTCTTCAGCAGGTTTCACCACCACAGTGCAGCCTGCTGCCAGGGCAGCCCCCACTTTCCGGGTGATCATGGCGCTGGGGAAATTCCACTGGGGTCAGGAGAACAGAGGAAGCATGGGAGAGGAAAAACTGCTTCATTAGTCCAAAGGAAGGCAGGTTGAATAGTCAGTCAATAAATTCCATTGCACACCTGAGGGACAAACCTGTTCTCTGGCTGCACAGGCACACTCCCAGAACACCTGATGCCCCCAACTTGAGGGACTCAGGAGATAAAGGTTTATAAAGATTAGAAACATTTTCACAACTGAACATTATATAGAATTATTTAGACCAGAGGTCAGCCAACATTTTTTTTGTCAAGGACCAGACAGGAAATCTTTTAAGCTTTGGAGGGTATCTGGTTTCTGTCACAACTTCTCAACTCTGCAGAGGGATGGTGAAAGTTACCCAGAGGCAGTAGTGTGTGAATGGGTGGGTAGGGGGGCCATGTTTCAAATTTATTTAAAAACTATAGGGTGGATTTGGCCTGAAGCCCTTGGCAGAAAATATTAGCAATGCTGATTCTGAAAATAGCAGATTTCTGGTATCCCTCTGTATACATATCTGTGGATATCTACAGACATCTACGCATGTAAAACATTATTTTATTTTGATAAATGCACATACAGTGCTTATTCTGGTATTATTCTAAGCCCTTTAAAATTATAATGAATTAAATTCTTACCACAATCCAATGAGGTTGGTATTCTTATCCTTGTTAACAGGTCTGAGAAAACTGAGACAGTGCTGTTAAGCAACGTGCCCAGGTCACGCAGATAGTACACAGAGAGCTTCAGCCAAACCTAGTAAGTTCTAGGCAGGCAGGAGGATTCTATCTGTAACTCTGCTGAGCCGGGACAGAACAGCAGTCTTGAGACCAGCTGACAGACACTGCAGAGAAGTCAATATGGGACCCAGTAGAAGGCAGGTCTAGAAAGATCTCTCTGAGAGAGGAAGATGGGCACCCACAGCCGTGCTGTAGCCCCAACCAGGCATTTCTTAGCTTTTTACCTCCAGAACCTGGCCTAGTGCCTGCAGGTAGCACAAATGCTTTCTTGTTGATAACCACAAATTTTTCCAAACTATGACATATTAAAAATATGCCATGTCTTAAGTTCTTTTGAAAATGATAAATACCCTCTAATCCTAGTACTCTGGGAGGCCGAGATGGGTGGATTGCCTGAGCTCACAGGTTCAAGACCAGCCTAAGCCAGAGCAAGACCTCGTTTCTAAAAGTAGCTGAGAGTTGTGGCGGGCGCCTGTAGTCCCAGCTATTTGGGAGCCTGAGGCAAGAGAATCGCTTAAGCCCAAGAGTTTGAGGTTGCTGTGAGCTATGAGGTCATGGCACTCTACCGAAGGTGACAAAGTGAGACTTTGTCTCAAAAAAAAAAAAATAAGAGATAAATACCAGATCTTTTCAGCAGTGCAACGCCAGGGAGAAAACTCCAAGCTAAGTCAGAAAAGCTGCCTGGGTTCTCCTGTGGGTCATCCCACTTTTTCAGGCATTAGCAAATACTACTCCCACTTGCTGCCACCACGCCTCACATATCACAGAGGACCAGGAAACACACCTCTGTGTTCAGCAAAGGGATCTGGAAACTGAGAGAAGATGACAAAGCTAGCAGGGTGAGGACTCTGCCGCACAGGGAAGAACAAACAGTTTCTGGATTCCTAATCTCCTACCCTAGGATCTTCATGATCTTGGCACATACCGGGGTGATGACTGCCACCACACCTATGGGCTGCTTGAGAACCAGGGCGCGCTTGTCCTTTGCTGAGGTATAGATAATGTCTCCGTAAATGCGGCGGGCTTCCTCTGAAAACCACTCGAGGAAAAGGGCGGAATAGAGAACTTCTCCCTGTGCTTCCTTCAGTGGCTTCCCCTAAGTTAAGTCAAAAAACAAACCATGTTTACCTTCTAAAAATAAAAGCATAGTTCTGCGTTCTTAAATTCTTCAAGCCTGCAAAAGGAGTAAAAAAGTAGCCCATTACAAAACCCACAAGATTGTTGGGAAATTTCTAACTTGGGTATGATTTTCAGAAAGCAGAACTACAAATAATGATGGACAGAAGCATGGTTATATCACTCTAAACCACGAGAATCACTCACATCTTCAAAATGCTTAGAAATTAGGAGACATGTAGAACTGGGTCTTCTAAATACCTAAACATTGTAACCATGGTGTAAAATCATTTACTATACTTAGGGAGGAACTACTGGTACAATACAGTAAAACCTCTATAAGTTGACCACCCATGGGACTATAACTGGTCAACACAAAGAAGTGGTCAACATAAGGGACTAGGCCTCCTGTACTGATATGTACATGTGGTGCATGTCCGGTCTATGATAATTAGGTCAACTTAAAGAGGTGGTCAGTGTAGGGAGGTGGTCAACTAGGGAGGTTTTTCTATATAGAAAAACATGAAAACCAACCAAAACAATCATGTAGAAAAAAACCAGAATGGTGAAAACTCAGTATTCATATAATTCCAAACAGTCTAGTTTTGGATATTAATAACAATAAACTAGAACCTATAAATGTTATTTTACCAAATTTTGAATGCCCTGGCACAGAATGATTTGGTATCTAACCAGCAGATGAGAAATCACACATTCTTCAGCTACAGACAGCACTGAGGGGAAGTCAGAGGCCTTCTCAAGTTTAGTGTAAGAATTCCTGTATAATTTCTCAGGGTATTAAATCAGGATGCTGAACTTACATTTTCAGCTGTGATTATCTTGGCAAGGTCATCCTTATTTTGTATCATTAAATCATACCATTTCCTCAGTAATGAACTCCTTTCCTGAAAAAGAAGTAACAAGACAGAGAAGTAGTGAAATGCCAAGTGTAAGATAAACTATTAAATAATCTCCAATTACCTAAAATAGCTGTGTGGATTCATTCTTAGAGTGATGGGTAATTTTATGCATCAACTTGACTGGGCTAAGGGATACTCAGATAGCTGGTAAAACATCATTTTGCACATGTCCGCAAGGAAGTTTCCAGAAGAGATTAGCATTTGAACCAGTAGACTGAATAAAAGATTTACCCTCACCTATACAAGGGGCATCATCCAGTTTGTTGAGGGCCTTGAATACCACATAGAACAAAAGGGCAGAGGAAGGGAGAACTGCCTCTCTGTGTATGCCCAGACATCCATTTTCTCCTGTTGCCAGACAACAGAATATGGGCAAACCTTGTTCTGAGGCCTTCAGAATCAACTACACCACTAATTTTCTGGGCTTCCAGCTTGCAGAGAAATTGAAGAACTTTCTAGCATCCACGATCATGTGAATGCTAATCTTTTATGATAAGTCTCTTCCTACGTTATCTATATATATCCTGTCGGTTCACTTCCTCTGAGAACTCTTGAGAAATGTGCTTGGGAAGACAAACACCCATGCTTCTTTGATAAATAATAACAAAGATCTACCTTCAAGTTGCATCTAAAGGAGTGTATGAGTCATAAATTATAAAAGAACAAAGTTTTGTGGAAATAGCTATTATTGTTTATGGTAGATAAGAATAACTTTAATACACATAAAATTTTATGTGTAAAATAAACACATACACATCTTAACCATTTTAAACATACATTTTGGTGGCATTAAGTACATTCACAGTGTTGTACAACCATCCCCACGATCCATCTCTAGAACTTTTCCATCTTTCCAACCTGAAACTCTGTAGCAATTAAATGACCTCCCACTCCCTCCAGCCTCCATCCCCCAGCAACCATCATTCTTCTTTCTCTATGAATTTGACAACTCTAGGTACTTCATATAAGTGAAATCATGCAGTATCTGCCCTTTTGTGACTGGCTCATTTCATTCAACATAACGTCCTCAAGTATCATTCTCTACTTAACAATTTGCTGGCAAGCTGGATTTGTCCCATAGACTGAGGTGGGGGATTGAGGGATATGTGAGGCTTAAGAAAAGGGTTTTAGGGTGGCGCCTATGGCTCAAAGGAGTACGGTGCAGGCCCCATATACTGGAGGTGGTGGGTTCAAATCCAGCCCCGGCCAAAAAAAAAAAGGGTTTTACACACTTAAAAAGAGGGCCTGGGCACAACAGTGTAAATGTAGTTAATGGCACTGGAACTGTCTACTTACAAATGCTTAAAATGGTAAATTTTTTGCATATTTTACCACAATTAAAAAATCTCCAATGCACAGAAAAAGATAAAGGGATAAATTGGACTAATAAGCTTATGGAAGAAATGGCTTCTAAAAATAAAAAGAAATTTAATTCACTTACATAAAACTAGTTGGGAAAAAAAGAGGAAGGCCGAGAAAATCCAGGCCAACTGGGCTGCACAGAGGCATTCTTTTTTTTTTTTTGAGATAGAGTCTCATATTGTCACTCTTGATAGAGTGTCATGGCGTCATAGCTCACAGCAACCTCAAACTCTTGGGCTCAAGTGATTCTTTTGCCTCAGTCTCCCAAGTACCTGGGACTACAGGCACGTGCCACAGTGCCCAGCTATTTTTAGAGACAGGATCTTGCTCTTGCTCAGGCTGGCCTCGAACCTGTGAGCTCAGGCACTCAGGCAATCCCAGAGTAGCCTCCCAGAGTGCTAGGATTACAGCTGTGAACCACTGTGCCCAGCCTGCATAGAGGTATTCTACAGAGACTTGTTCTCAGGGCTCCAGCCTCCTACAGCTGAACAGGTATATCCAAAGCCAAGAAGAATCTTTGGGTTACTCTTTGCTGCCTGAAGTCCTGCCCACTATAAATGAGCACACTTGGTTTGTCATTTGGATGTTCTAATCTATTCACCAGATCTAAGAATTTAATTCTTTTTTTTTTTTTTTTTTTTTTAGATGGAGCCTCAAGCTATCTCCCTGGGTAGAGTGCTATGGCATCACAACTCACAGCAACCTCCAACTCCTGGGCTCAAGCGAGTCTCCTGCCTCCGCCTCCCAAGTAGCTGGGACTACAGGCGCCCGCCACAAATGCCTGGCCATTTTTTGGTTGCAGCCATCATTGTTGTTTGGCGGGCCTGGGCTGGGGATTCGAACCCACCACCTTAGGTGTATGTGGCTGGCGCCTTAGCCGCTTGAGCCACAGGCGCCGAGCCAAGAATTTAATTCTTTACCATACTCATGGGCAGAGAGGATGAGTGTGTGTATATCTCACTAGCTGTCTTTTTCTGGGTTATTTCCCTTCTCTATTTTGGACAGGCTAAAAAGCTTCTTTGTCTTACCTCTCAAGGGTATTGCTGAGGCCTCTAAATCTCACACCCTGGAGAAGAGACATCAACATCCCTTAAAACAATATTACTACATTTTGTTTACCCTCACTCTCTGCAACACCAGTTGAGAATCTGATGACTGTAGGCTTGTGAGTTATTCTAGTGAGAAAAGAAATACTAAAATCTAGGTGGTTTGGCTCAGAGAAGTAAATTAAATACCTGAGGAAATGGCCTACTGTGACAAAGCACCATACGTAGTGTGAGAAGGAAGGAGGGGAGGACATGAAACAGCGTAAGAACTGTGAGAATAAAAGGCAGCTTCTGCTTGGTGACAGAAAACAGAACCTTCAGGTTGAACACACAGACCAGTGGAGGCCACGAAGCACCCTCAGCAACAAAGTACGGGTTGAGTCTACGTCTGAGTCCTGATCCTTAGGACCTCAGAATGTGACGTTATTTGGAGAGAGGGCCTTTACAGAAGCAACCAAGTTAAAATGAGGTTTTCAGCGTGGGTCCTTATAAATGACTGTGTCATTTATAAGAAGAAAGTTGGACACAGGCACAGAAACATACAGAGGGGAAAGACAGTATGAAGGAAGGAAGGTTCCCAGAAGGAACCCACTCTGCAGACGCTTTGATTTTAGACTTTAACCTCTAGACCTGAGACAATAAACATCTTTGGTTTAAGCCACAGAGTTTGCACAGAAGTTGTAGGAAACTAACCTTTGTAGAAGTGCGAGACTCAGACAGGGGTCCTGAGAAGCAGGAAGGGGACAGAGCCATGAGTGCTGGGATCTCAGGTCCTTCCTGCGACCAGCAGTGAAAGCAAGGACAGTGAGCTCTGATCTCTCAGGCTGCCCCCTCGTGCCCAACGTGATTCATTAAACTCATAAGAAAAGACACAGCACTTGATGTTGGCCAAAAGGCCAGGAAGTGATCAAATATCTACCTCACAGAGCCACTGAAAGGATGAATTGAACACCTGTGAGGCACCAAGAACAATACTTAGCTGTGGTGGGTACAATACTGGCCCCCAAATATGTCCACACAACAAAAGGAATGTTGCAGATGTGATTAAGAATCTTGAGGTGCAGCTCTGGCACCTGAGGCTCAAGCAGCTAAGGCACCAGCCACATACACCTGAGCTGGCGGGTTCGAATCCAGCCCAGGCCCGCCAAACAACAATGACGGCTGCAACCAAAAAATAGCCAGGCGCTGTGGCGGGCGCCTGTAGTCCAGCTACTTGGGAGGCGGAGGCAGGAGACTTGCTTGAGCTCAGGAGTTGGAGGTTGCTGTAAGCTGTGATGCCACAGCACTGTACCCAGGGTGATAGCTTGAGGCTCTGTCTCAAAAAAAAAAAAAAGAATCTTGAGACTATCCTGGATTACCTGGGTGGGGCTGATGCAATCATTAGGGTCAAAGTGAGAGAAGGTGATGTGATGACTGAAGCAGAGGTTGAGTGATGTGGGGATATGTGTAGTTTCTAGAAGCTGAAAATGATAAGGAAACAGCATCCAGGAGAGATGCGGCCTTGCCGACCCGTTTTGGACTGCTGACCTATACAACTGAAAGAGAATAAACCTGTATTGTGCTAAGCTGCTGAATTTATGGTAATATGTTGCAATGGCCACACATTTGCTTATAAGGCAGTAGATAAATATTAGTTTCCTTCTTCCCATGTCTTCTAGGAGTTCGCAAAGTGGAAAAAAGAGATCATAAAACACATGAAAAGAAAGATGTGATGCAATACAGAAGATGACAAGGTGCGTGGAGTAGGCCTGGGGGTTCAGAAGAGGGAGAATAACAGAAGGCTACGGTCAGACAGCATCAGAAGCAGAAGTTACACAAGAGCTAGGAATGGGTGGGATGTGAATGGGCCTGGAGAAGGGAGGGGAAACAGACCCAGAAGAAAGACAACAAAGGCCTGGAGGGAAGAGAGGGATGAATCACAGAGCTGCCTTACAAACTCTGTTTACCATGTCACTGCATTTACGCCTACCATCTCTCAGCTGTAGTGGCAGGCCTTTAGGGACACCGATGGCACCACTCTCTTAGTGAGATATTCCAGGACCCAAGAACTCCACCTTTTAAGAATAAAGTTTCCCTGAGAAGACTGGAGCTCCTGTGAGACAGAAGCACTACACTGTTCAAGGAGCACAGACATTAGCATGATGGTGTGATCAGAACACAGGGTGATGCTGCCAGTATCAGCAAGAGGCCCCAACATCATCAGCCCTATGACCTCCAAACCACAACTGACCCCTGAACTGTAAAGCGACCACTGTGATAAACTGAGGCCTTGATCCTATGGGCCCTTGAGGGACTCCAGAAGGGTGCTAGAGGGCATCAGACCTTGATCCACTCCCTCCCTGAGACCTAATCATCCTCATGGCTATAAGTATACCTGCAGTACACAAGGGTATGACTTTCACATTTATATCTTTAGCCCCTCGCTCACTCTCGAACTCCAGACTCGTGTATCTGGCTGCTTATTTCACATCTCCACTAGGGTATGAATGGACACCCTGGACTTAAGAGTCTAAAACTGAGCTCTGAAATCTCACCCCACTGCCGTTCCCCTACCCTCTTCCCCACCTCAGCTTCACCCCATTTCATCCTTCTGGTGGCTCAGGCCAAAGGGGTCTCAATGATTTCTCCCTCACTCTCATCCTGGTTCATGCCACCCAAATCCCTGCAATATCCTCCCAAAAGGCATCTCTGCTTCTACCACTGTTCCTTCTTCATGTAGTCTCAGCACTGTGGCCAGAGTAATGCTTTCAAAATGTAAATCAGATCATATCTCTACTTAAAACCCTGTCACGGCCCCTACCTCACTCAAAATAAAACCAAAGTCCTTTAGAAGGCTCCATCTGTTCCACATGGTCCAGCCCCTCCTTCCCTATCTCTTCTTCACCTACAACTCTTCCCCTGTGCTCAGTGCACATGAACCTCCTTACTGTTCTCCACATGCATCAGCCTGCTCCCAGCTTTGGCTATAGCTGAATCACCTCACTTCCTTTGGCCTTTGTATGTTATGTCCTCAAGGAGGCCTACTCTGATGTTATAAGCCGGTGTCCTGACTCCCGAGTATCCAGGATGTGACTGTATTTGGAGATAGGGTCTTTAAGAAGTACTTAAGTTAAAACGAGGTCATCATGGTGGGCCCTAATCCAATCTGAATGATTTTATAAAACAGATGAGGACAGACACACAGAAGGAACATTATGTGGAGAAAAGACGAAGACAGTCATCTGCAAACCGAGGACAGAGACCTCAGAAAAAACCAACCTGACAACATCATGACCTTGAACTTCTAGCCTCCAGAACTGTGGTATAATAAATTACTGTTGTTTAAGCCCTCAATCTGTGTACTTGTAATGGCAGCCTGTGCACACAAATACACCTGACCATACATCATGTACACTGTATCATGCCACCTCCCTCGAGCCCCTGGTCATCTTTTGCTTCCACCTACCCCCTCCCCGCCATGGTTCACACCGTATTTGCTTAGGTATTATGTTGACTGGCTATAGAGTAGATCTCCCTGCCTCATGTGAGTGCCATAAGGGCAGAAACTTTCTTTTGGTGTCTGATATATCCCAGGCACCTCCAACAGTGCACAGCATATAGCAGCTGCTTGGTAAACAGCTGATGGATGGATGAATGGTTAAGAATCTCTGGTACTCGCACAGAATCAATGGATGCATGTGTTCAGAGGGAGGGCTTTCAAGCACAGGGCAGAAGATGATTTCACAGGGTTGGCTCCAGGTGTAACATAATAAATGAAGGAGGAAAAATATGTGTTAGTTTTCTCCTTACTCAACTCTCTGTTTAATGATCTCCATCCTCTACCCCCAATTCTCTAGCGTTCTTTAGAGCAGTAAATAGCATTTTTCACTCAGGCTAAAAACCTGGAGGATAGTCTTGGACTCCTCTCCTCCTCTGTACAAAGTTCTAATCTTTCTACAGCTCTCTGCTCCTGACCCCATGACATTGTACCAGCCTCCTCTGTGGGCTCTGTGGGCTCTGCACACATGTAGCACTTCATGTATTCTGAAGTGCTCTCTCACTGCGGGACACAGCCTTCTACCGGGTCAAGCTTGTTACCAGTAACACTCAGCTCCCTTGCACTACCAGCTTGCGTTCTGCCTCCCCTACTGGGCGATACACTGTTTGAGGGCAGGGGCCGTGTCCCTAGCGCCAGGAGGACGATGCTCCAAACTCATTTGTCTCCTTTTTTGTTGCTCCGACTTTTCGCATTGTGTACCCACAGGGAACTGAGGAAAGGAGACACGAGGCTGGTTTCACTTTGGGGCCCGGCGTCCTCTGCTCCTCGCTGGGCCCCGGCCACCTCTTGACCCCTGCACGCGCCGCGCTCTCACCTTGGCCGAGACCGCCCTCCAGCTGCTGAAAGCCTCATAGGCGGCGCGCACGGCGGATCGGGCCTCGGGCACCCCGCAGTCGGCCACCATGCCCAGCACGGCGCCGTTGGCCGGGTCGTGCACCGGGAAGGTGGCGGCGGCCGGGAGCCAGTGGCCGCCCACGAAGCTGTCGGTGCGCAGCAGCGCCGCAGAGAGGCCCGCCAGGCCCCCGGCGTAGCGGCGGAGCTGAGCCAGGCTGGGCGCGGGCCTCGAGGCGGGCCCCAGGCTGCCGGCGCTGGGACAGAGGAGGCCGCCCAGAGGCTGTGGCCGGAGGCGCGGGGCCATGGACCTCCGCAGCCAAAAGCAGGTCGCCATGGCCTTGACAGCGGCGACGGCTGGAAGCAGGCGAGCGGGTGCGCGCACACGGGAGCGCGGGGGGCGCGGGGAAACGGGAGGGCGAAGAGAAGGCGGGGCCGCGCGGGGCCGCAGGGGAGCGGGCGGGAGGTTGCGGAGACGCGGAGCAGCGCCCTCGCCGCGCGCCGGGCGCGCTGCCACGCTGTGGACTTTGTCCTGAACGCCGGCGACTTCCCAATCTGCGCCACTTCTTCCGGGGAGGGTTGGGGCCGAAGTTGGGGAAGGCTCGCTGGGAAATGCACCTGCGGACCGCCGTCCCCTTCGCCCCTATCGGGTGCTCATTTGTCTGTAACTACTCCTTAGAACCCCAACCGCTGCGGGAGAAGCACTGGCTCGCCTTCTCGTCCCCAAATCCCGCACCCTCGCCGCAGGAACTTGTGCTTGGTCCACAGACCAGCGGTGCAGGAGCGGGAAACCTGCAGCCTTAAGGCCACACGGGGCTTTGTAGGTCCTTAAGTGCGGCCTTTTAACCGGATACAAATTTTACAGGAAAAATCCTTTTATTAAAAATTTTTTGTTTGTCTTTTATAGAATTTTTTTTTTTTTTTTTTTTTTTAGGAGAATGTATTTAAAATACCAAAAAATAGGCCGGGCGTGGTGGCTGACGCCTGTAATCTCAGCACGCTGGGAGGCGGAGGCGGGTGGATTTCTGGAGCTCAGGAGTTTGAGACCAGCCTGAGCAAGAGCGAGACCGTCTCTACTGAAAATAGGATAAAACTTAAGGTGACCAGATTTTAACATTGGTAAAGCAGGGTACTACTGACGGGGGTGGGTGGTGGGTGGGTGGGGTTCTTAATTAAAAATTTGGTCTATATGCAGCAACAAAAAATTTCACAGAACACAAAAATAGTATTGTAATTTTTTTTAAATTTCAACATAAGTACGACTTACAAATATAATACATTAAAAATTACATATAGTATTATTTTATTCTTTGGCATATTTCTCATTTGAGTGAATTTATTTTAGTAGATTGCTGTCGTTTAAAAGGTCATGAAATTTTTCACAAGAATTTGTTAAATTATATTTCACACATAAAATGGCTTTCAAAGTCTCAACACTTAATTGTGATTTTTCTGATGTCCACACTTTATTTACCATAGAAAAAACGCGTTCAGTCTTAGCATTAGTCCCTGGTAAGGACAGCACATATCCCACAGTTTTTAGTGCATTATTGTATGGAACATGGTTTGTTTCAAAATGATGAAATATTTCTAACCATTTGTTCTCTATTGTGATTTTTGCTGATGCCCAAGATTTAACCTTTCCCTTATTAATATTTTTTTAAATAATGATACCTGGTAAGTCATAAGTGTCACTTTCAAGGCCGCCACTATAAAATATATATAATACAAGTACTGTCTGCTAAATTCATGAAATAAATAAATAAATTACTTGCCTAAATTATGTGAATAGCTGATTTGTTGACATAATTTGTTTAGCACTAGCATGCAGAGGTAAGCAGGCCACTCCCTGTGTTAGGGAGAAGTTGTAACTTTAAGGGCAGGAGGGGGCTTTTGGGGGGAGGGGCTTTCTGAGACATGAATCTAACATATCTAGCATTCTTTCCAAAAATCAGGACTTTTTTAAAAGGCCACGGGACACAGGACAAATTGTTAAAAATCAGGACTGTCCTGCCAAAAGCGGGACGTTGGGTCACCTTAACAAAACTAGCCAGGCGTTGTGGCAGGCACCTGCTACTGCGGAGGCTGAGGCAAGAGGATTGCTCAAGTCCAAGAGTTTGAGGTTGCTGTGAGCTATGATGCTACAGCACTCTACTCAGGGCAACAGAGTGAAACTCCTTTTATTATTAAAAAAAATAAAATTGCAAAGAATAAAATGGGTTTCAAGGAAATAATCCTCCCAATTAACCAGCACAACTGGGGCTAGTGAGCCATTAGGGCTAAGCTGACTGCTGCACAAGAGGCTGATTGGCAAGAGTTTATGGGGGTGGGGATGGGGTCCAGTAGGCCAGCCTGTCATCAGCTTTTATAATGGGGTTCTGCATTTAGTTTGACATGGAATTTGTGAATACCTGTAGTTGAACAGCTCATCAGTATTTTTACTTAATACTCCCATCATGTTAAAGAAGACCGAGAGAATACTGAAGAAAGAAAACATTTTTGGTTTTTAACTTCAAATATGGAAGGTTTTACTTTTGCTGTTCAAGGAGAAAATAGATTTTTTTCATTTTTTTTTTTTTTTTGGTTGTTTTTCTTCATCAGGTCCATAGGAGGCTTGAGCTTGACACCCTTGGTGTGCCAAGCCTGCACCCTCACTACTGAGCTACAGCAGTCAGCTGAAAACAGATTTTTAAAAGAGGATCTGGAATTGCAATATTATTTTGTTTCTGCTAAAGATAAGATGATTTGCTTGCTTTGTGATACTGCAATATTAGAACTGTAACACTCATAAGGACCACAAATATTTTAAATTACAAAATACATGAAAGATTGTATTGCAGAAGTCAAAAATAAAAAGCAAAAAAATAAAAAAGACAATTCTTTCATGTGCTGATAAAATAAGGAAACACTGTCACAGATGTATTACTTCATGACGTCACATCCAAGTTAGCATTTCAGCCTCACTTAACACCTAGTACAAAGCACCTAAAGAATTACAGATGGAATTGATTGAGCTCTCGGCAGATGAAATTTTATAACTTTTTTTTAAAGATGGGGTCTTGCTCTTGCTCAGTCTGGTCTTGAGCTCCTGAGCTCAAGCAATCCTTCCACTGCCTCCCAAGAGTGCTAGGATTACAAGTGTGAGCACCAAGCCTAGCAGTAGATGACAGTTTAAGGTCTTTGGGTGATGCTGATATAGAGCCAATTGAGAAAGGGAAAAATGCAGTGGAATACCTATGTATGCCTTTGGCAGCAGGTTGAAAAATGCTTTCTTGTTTTTCAACCACTTATTCCTGTGAATCTATATTCTCCTATCTAACCCAAGACATGCTTAAAGTCACAAATGACTAATACCCATCTAGAGGATCGACCAAAACTGTGCGCCTCCATGCTGCAACCAATATTCCAATGCTTTCCAACAAAAAGCAGAAACCACGAAGTCATTAAAAGGTTGGTTAGCTTTAAATTAACAAGTAGTTTTCATTTTTTTGAAATTAGGTACATAGTAGTTAGATTTTTGTAAAATAATATGTATTTCAATTACATCTAATTGAAATTTCTTGAATGTGGCCTTATTTGATTACAGCTGAATTAATGTGGCCTTATAAAATGAAAAGCTGCCCCTCACCCTGGCCGCACTGGTGCTTGCCCCCTGTTAAGGGTATGGTCATGTTCCTTCATCTGCAGTTTCTGCCCACGTGTAGGATTTGGGGGGATGGGTTTCTGAGGGGGTGAAGTGGGGACCCTCTTGCTACCTGGGTATTTTTCTGGGTGTGTCCAGGTAGTCTCCTAGGCATGCTCCTGATAAGTACTGTGTTTCCCTGAAAATAAGACATACCCCCAAAATAAGCCCTAGCAGGATTTCTATGCATTTGTTAAGTATAAGCCCTACCCCAATAATAAGACCTAGTGATGGGCATGGCTATGCCATGCATTTCAGCACGGAGTGGTTAAGGAAGACTGGAATATCCCCTGAAAATAAGCCCTAGTGTGTCTTCTTGAGAGAAAATAAATATAAGACAGTATCTTATTTTTGAGGAAATATGGTAACAGTGACTCTGGTGATAAGCAGACTTGGAATTCAAACTCAGAACCTGTTGCTCAACATACTGGGTGACATTTGACAAATGTTGACCTCAGTTTTCTCCCTTATGAAATTCAACAGTACCCACCCTATATGTTTGTTGTGAGATAATGTGCAATGCTTATCACACTTACTGCATTAAGTTCAATATATTGTTCAAAGTCATGCTAGTAAGTTACCTTAGTTAAGCTACTAGTAAGATTAAAGTTAGGCCACCAGCTAGTAAATGGAAGAATTTGTCAAAATTGAACTAATGAAGGTATAAAGATTGAGCCTACTACGGTCACCTTTAAACAACATTTTTCATCCATTCAAAAATTAGACTTGGGCTTAAAAATGTGGAAGCAAAGGAAGCTTAAACTTTGATAGGGATAAAAATAAAAATAGTAGGCCTACAGTTGGAGTTTGTAGGTTCAAATACATTGATTATAGATCACTAGCTCTCAACATATCCCCAATTCTCAATTCCTACAGAGTTGAGAGCATCTTGCTGACTTCTCTGGAGCTTGTGGGTTCTTGGTCTTTTTCTGGGACACTGGATTTTTTTCTAGGACATTTGCAAAATGCCGAGGTAGTACTTTAAATTTTGACTTTGTCTTTTGCAGAGTCAGATCCACTCAAGTTTGAGTCATGCACATGTGGCATAAGTGGTAACAGCTGAGATTAATCTTTTTTGGTGTGTGGATTCACTATTTCCTTCTGTATTTTATTGAGGAATTGGGAACGGAGAGGGAGTTCTGAGGGAGATGTGGGCAGTGGGTGTCCCAATCTGGAGGGGAAGCAGGCATGTTTACATCTCCTGCCAGCAGGGGGAGTTCTGCTGATAGCCTATTTCGTTATTATTTTTTTTTATTAAGTCAAATACACTTAGATCATGAATACATTTATGCATATGTGGGGTACGATGTGTTGATTTTTTTTATACAATCTGACGTGGTTACATCAAACCAATCAACATAGTTTTCGCCTCATTTACTTGATTATTGTGTTAAGACATTTATGTTCTACACTTGATAGATTTGACTTGTACCCTCGCAATATGCTCCATAGGTGTGGTTCCGCCTTTTACCCTCCCTCTGATGGCCTATTTCTGCTGCCCTCAGAGTTGAGGCCTCCATCACTTGAGGCCCAGAAAGTGAAGTCAATTGTGGCTGCCTTCCTGTTTCAAGATTACTCTAGACTTCATTTCATTTCATTTCATTTCATATTTCATTTCTCTCTCTATCTCCTAGCCTGGAGTGCAGTGGCCCAATCATAGCTCACCACAACCTCTTGGTCTCAAACAATCCTCCTGCCTCAATCTCCCAGGTAGTGGGGACTCAAGGCATGCCAATTTTAAAATTATTTTTTAAATTATATTTTGGAGAGAGGTGGTCTTGCTATTGCCCAGGCTGGTCTGGAACTCTTGGCCTCAAGTGATTCTGCGTTGGCCTCCCAAAGTGCTAGGATTACAGGCTGAGCCAAAGCACCTGTGCTACTTATCTTTTTAAGGTTCTATTTCAAAAGGTGCCCACTTCCTTTCCCAACTGACTTATCCATTAGGCACAATGCCTGGAGCCCATAATACTTTTAGGAGGCACAAAAATGTTTCATTTCTAAAATCAGAAGAAAGGAAATATTAATACTATATTAATTTTATACCAATTCAGATGTAAAATGTGATTTTAGTTAATTTATGTGTTTACTTTTATGAAAGGGAGGGCTTAGCAAAGGCAAAAGTTCCTAGGACCTAAGAAATTCACAATATGGCTCTTCCTTTTCCCCTCACTGTTTTGCAGACCTTGCAAGCCCCATTTAGAGTGGGAACAATTCCTCCAGCTCCTGTCTTACTTCTAGACTTCCCTGATCCCCTCCTCCCCCCAGCACAGCTGGATGTGCTCACCATGGCCTGCAGGACCACCAACTGATGGGGATTTTTCCTTCCTTTCTCCTTAGCTTGATTTTGTCCCGGGTACCTCCACCCACCAATTCCCACCTTTATCCATCCTCTCCCCCATTTGCTCCCTTGTGATGACAGCAACTTATTAGACGTATGTAGAAATGAGTTGGAATTATCCACTATATTTCAAAATTTTCTGGTCATTAAAATCTGCATCTCGTTTATCTGTACAAGGAAACCCACCTTCAATTCAAAAGCCTCGTCCAATTTTGTTTTATATAGAAATCTAAATTGTTATATGATGCTAAAAAATAGATACAATGCTGAGTACCATTGTGTACAATTTTTTCCCTTGGTTTTTGAAAAATTCAGTAAGGAAGATAGTTACTTAATATTGAGTTATTAATTATGGATGTCCAGTTTCCTCAAGTACTAAGTTTGACAGTTGATACCTCTGACATTTCCCTTTGATACTTCTTGTTTTGTTTTTATTGTGATGGTACATCCTCAGTCTTTCAAAGGAACATTTTGGCCTGTGATTATCTTTGAAAAAAAAAATTTTAAGCAATTTTTGTGAAACCATAGATAAGTCAAAAATTCGTGTTATCATAATAACTTGTGCAAAGTCACCCAGACAGAGATGATAGCTGAACAGGGACCACAATGCAGCCCCAATTCCACCTACCCATTCCTTACTGTAACTGCATGTCTGCTTTTCAGCTTGTATCTGTATTTCCACAGACTGCTAAATGACAGAATGATGCTGTCTAATTAATAAGAAAGCCACCTGTATTAGGAAAGGGGGCGTGGGATAGGAAGAAAAAGATTTCCATATACTTACTGTTTGTCGGATAATTTTCTTAATATTGTGAGTTATATTGTAACTTTCTTTTATTCTCTTTGATGTTTTTATGGTTACAAAAGTAATATAAACTTCATAAAAATTTAAGCAATATTGTCACATAAAGGCCACATAACTATGACACTGCCTAAGGAAATGATTCCCTTCGATTTTATTGCATTCATGTACTTACGTCATTCTGAACCTAATAGGAAAGATGCCTAACGAGAAATTTGGGATTAGTATTACTTAGTAACTGAGCCCATTCCTTTCTCTGGTGCTTTTTGGATAGGTTTGCTTTATCAAAAAAGGTTAGCTATTGTTTCTAGGCAGCTTTATGATTTTCCCCTAGTGACTCTTTGCAACTCTTTTACCATTTCCCTTGATTGACTACTCCTGGAATGTTCTGAGTTTACCAAAGCCCCAACTTATAATAACCACACACACCCCCACAGTTAGAAAGCCCAGAGTGAGAGGAAAGAGAACTCAGAGGCCCCTGGTGGCCTGACGAGGTATGGAAACCTGCACCTGTGAGAGTGGGGACAGGGTGACGTGGAGGTGGGGACAGGGGGACATGGAGGTGGGGACAGGGGGACATGGAAGAGGGCACGCTCTAGGAAAGAGGGGCAGCTGGCTCCTCAGTTCCAGAGGATTGTCATATCACATGGGACATCAGTTCCTGCAGCCAATTATTTTACTTGTTCATATTTAAGAGAACCAGAAATCTAGAGTTTTATGTGAATTTTGTCATTAAAAAAAAATTGGTCTGACTTTATAAAATACCCTGTTTGTCAAACAAAACATACCATCATATGGCCTGTGGCCTAAAAGTAGTCAGAAGCAGCTGGACCTAAAGCTCGCGGGGTTGGGAGAGAGGGTAGGATTCCTTTCCTTGGGGGTTTGCTGGTGGCTGAATTAAGGTCACAGAGGAAACTGTTGGCAGACAACTAAGTGTCTCCGATCATCCCATTTTCTATTTATCCTTCCATTTGGCTGACCTGAGAAAGAATGCCATTTCCGTCTACTCTTTCAGGAGCTCATCTCTTGCTTTTAATGTACAATATGCATAATTTGTGCTTTAAGATTACCAACATTTTCATGAAGAGCTGTTTTTCCCGTGGGTTAAGTACAATTGATTTGCTACTTCCTGACAGGTGTATTCTGAGCCCAGTATCTTCCAAACCCTTTCTTATTGGCCCTAAATCTTCCCCCTTCCCTCCTACCTCCCAAGCTGAAATCTGCATCTTTGCTTGGGCTGCTGGAATCTGACCTTGCATCAGGTTCTGGATAAGCTCTGTTAGAACAGCCAGAGGTAGAGAGACCAGGAGTGGTTGCTCTTGTGTAATCCCATACAAGTGTCAGTATCTGTTGCCAAATAGTGAAAGAGAAATCAGTTCCAGCTGATCACCATAAAAGCTTTCCCAGCACTTGTGGCTTCAGAGGCGGAGGAAGCAGGGCAGCCTGAGAAATGTGTGGAAGGGCTGCGGGAGGGATCCACCTTTGTAAGCTGAGGCAGTCAACTATATTGACTATTAGTATGCACAGGTGAGTCCTGTTTTTAGAAAGCAAAAAATGCGTGGAGACAACCTTGCTTGTATCTCCATACAAATTTCATGTTAAAATGAAATCCAGAGAAAACCTCCGTCAGAGGATGCAATGCTTCCACCTAGAGGCTTTTAGATTTCAGTTTGTCACCCGCTCTCCACTCCAGGAGGACAGAGTTTGTTTGCTGTTCTGGTGAAGCTAAACAGTAGTTGAACAGTTGACTTCATTGGAAAACGATATTATTTTGAAATGAGGCTTGGTTTCCCAGGTCAGTGACCTGCTTAGAGAGAAGCAGTGGGTCTGCGCCTGGATTTCAGAGTCACAGTGCTGCCACGGCTCTGAGCATGCCCACGTCCCCTGAGCAGCCCGTGAGGAACAAGAGCATGTATGCTTTCAGGCTGTGGCCTGGCCTGCTGATCGTGCTGGGTTCTCTCTGCCCCCGAGCTTCATCGTGTGGCATTTCAACACATGTTGAAATAGGTGAGTACTTGTGTGTAGTACAGTAAATCTGTCAGGAGACATCAAGGAAGAGATTGAAGATCTGTCCCGTGTATTGATGCAATTCCCTGCGCCGTGCTGAGCAGCCTGACAGTGGGGAGGAGAAGGCCGTGACTGCATGGTCCAGGCTGGGTTCAGCGGAGGGGCAAGTAAGCGAGACTCCTGCTGCCCTTTTGGTCACAGGATCGCTTGGTATTTCTCTGGATGGGGATGAATACGTTGCAATGAAGCAGAAGAACTAATAGAATGGGAAAGGAGAAAGATGTGGAATATGGTAGTAGGGAGGAATTTATTTTTGTTGTTTTACATTTCCAAAGACGGTCTTTTACAAGTATGTGTAAAGAGCCATGTTTGGCTAGGGGAGTGGATCCCCTGAGTCATATTGGCTTTAGAGGTGCTTGGCTTCTGGAATGTCAAAGAAGCAAAGGAATCTGGATGATCATTGGCATTAGAGGTGCCCAGGAAGATAGCAGGAGCTGAGGAGGAGAGAGCTACAGCAAGCCAGCGCCACTGACCTCAGGGGCAAAGGCACAGTTATCTGATACAGCTAGGTGGTAGCATAATGAATTGTTTTAATTTTTTTTTCAGCTTTATTGAGGTATAATTGACAAACAAATTGTATAAATTTAAGGTGCACAATCTGATGTTTTGATATATGTGCACATCATGGAATGATCATCACAGTCAAGCTCACTAATTATCCCCTCACATAGTTACCTTCTTTATTTTTGCATGTGTGGTGAGAATGCTTTACTCTCTTAGCTAAAAGGTTTAGTTCTTATATGAAGAGTATTTGTAGTATTTTTTACCTATAATTACATTCCGCAGCAATTTTTAGAATATTTTCCGATATATCAGGTGTTCTGGGTTTTCTTTATGTTAGATGAAAACAATAACAGTATTGTATGGTTATACCATCTGCAGACATTACACAGAATAACAAGACTATAGATAAAATATGGAGCTTTATCAGTGCGAAATAGACCTAGATATTGAGCTGTAGTGATCGAGAACCTACGATCCCAGAATTTTTCAATCTTAAAGGACACTAGAGATCACTGAGTCCAGTTCTTGTATTTTACAGATAAGGAAACTGATACTAAGACTCTCTAGTATTGATACTGATACTAAAAATCTCTACCTGTTTCACAGATAAGGAAACTGATACTAGAGAGTTTTACAGCTACCTTGTTAGTGGCCTAGTCTAGAATTACATGTCCTGATAGCTAGTCTAGCTTTCTTCCCATTAAACAGTTATTGCTTAGCCATATGTAGGCCCAACTACTTAGGAGGCTAAAGCAGGAGGATCACTTGAGCCCAGGCATTGTAGGCTGCAGTGAGCAATGATGACACCACTGCACTCCAGCCTGGGAGACTGAGCAACACCCTGTCACTTAAAAAAAACAAACAAACAATATTTACTGCTAAAAGGAATTTAGGAAACAATAACGGAAAAGAGAATCAGACTTAGATTCTAACATGTGTGTACCAGCTCTGCTGTTAGATGTGTGTCTGAGTAATTTGCCTCTCTGTTCCTCTGCTGTGAAATGAGAGAGTTGAACTTCTTCATGAATTCTAAAGTGTCTTCAAACTCTGAAGTTCCGTGAGGTCAAAATTGCCAGAGTGAACTGAAGAGGGACAAATATAAATGGAAATATTCAATGTTTTAATCTTTGGAGTCTAAAAAATCTGTAAGACAGATGACATGTGAAATTTTAATGAAATTAAATAATCGCTTGCCTTTTTTCATTAAGTGCCAAAGATCCTAATGGATATTTAAAGATATATATGATATATAAATAAGTATGTAAAATACATAAATATATATATAAAATATATAAAAACATAATTGAAGGCAACTCCTAAAATAGCACAGATTCTGAGAAATTTCTGTTTAAAAGACTAAAACTTCATCATTTATTTACTAATAACTTAGATGATTTTATGAATATTTTCATTCACTTACTCATTTCTTATAAGGGGTCTGAATGGAAGGTTGGCATTATGTGAATTAGGTCATAAGAATTGTCCTCATTCCAGCCTGTAGCTCAGTGATTAAGGCTCCGGCCACATACACTGGGGCTAGCGATTTTGAACCTGGCCCAGGCCTGCCAAACAACAATGACAACTACAACAACAACCAAAAAAAATAGCCAGGTGTTGTGGCAGGTGCATGTAGTCCCAGGCTGAGGCAAGAGAATCACTTAAGCTCAAGAGTTTGAGGTTGCTATAAGCTGTGACACCATGGCACTATGAAGACAGTGACATAGTGAGACTATGTCTCAAAAAAAAAAAAAGAATTGGCCTCATTCAGTGTAAACCCCTGGAATTCTACATATAGGCTATTTGTGTGGACTATGACTTGTCTCTTAGGATGTCAAAACTTATATTGTAGTAGTGGCTTCATTGTTTTGTATGAATTTAAAAACTGGATGTGTTTCACAACAGAAATAAAATATCACCTTTGAGTGTCTCTATACAGAATGTTGGTCTTCCTGTCACGTCTCTGGAGATGCAGGCTATTGGGGGGGGTGTCTATATGTGGGTGGGTGTGGGGCCATCTAGGACTAGGTAACCTTCTGAGATGATTTTGTCCTTTCAAAGTGGTCTAACGTTACATCTGGGGAATTGCTGATTCAGCCCAGGGGTTAGGCCTTACATCATATTTTCTACTTAGGCTTGTCTACCTTAGTTCTGAGGCAAACTGTGATGATGACAGTTCTTTTTCTTACCCCCCTTACATGTGTCAGCCATTGTGCTTGTCACTTAGTGTTTATTTCCTGTGATTCTCTCAACAACCTAGAAGTTGGGTTTTTTTTTTTTTTTTTTACTCAATTTTTTTTTAAAGACTTTATTTATTTACTTGTTGTTGTTATTGCAGTTTGGCTGGGGCTGGGTTCGAACCTATCACCCTCAGTATATGGGGCAGGCGCCCTATTCACTGAGCCACAGGCACCGCCTTTTTACTCAACTTTTCATAGGGAACTGAGGCCTAGAAAAGTTAAATAACTTGCCCAGGGTCGTTGAGCAAGAAAGTTCTAAGTTAAAGTTTCTAGTTAAGCAGAAACTTTAAATTACCATGTAAATTTGATTGATGTTATAACAGTATAAACAATGTACCAATCTAATTGTGCCTATTAAAAATTATAAGTGAATACAAATGTAATTTTCACTTCCTGCTTCCTTGACAGTTATAACCACAAAACTATAGGTTTTCCCCCAGAAATATCTCTAATAAGTTTTGTTTTCAGTTTTGGTTGAACTTGATTGATTTATATATTCCTTTCTCTCAGGACACAGAGCCTTGGAGTTTCTCCATCTTCAAAATGGGCGTGTTAACTACAAAGAGGTATAAAGCTTGATTTTTCTTTTATTCCTTGTGCATTAACTTTGTTCTGTAGATACCAAATAATAAAAGTCCATACCAGATGTTTAAGCAGTAATTTTTAAGAGTCATTTTTATTTCTTTATGAAACATTAATATTATGATTTAAAAAAATATTATGGTTAAAAGGCATACATCTCTTCCAAGTGTTACTTGAACATTTTATACATTTTTTTTTTTTTAGAGACAGAGTCTCATTTTGTTGCCCTCGGTAGAGTGTCATGGCATCACAGCTCACAGCAACCTCCAGCTCTTGGGCTTTAGGTGGTTCTCTTGCCTCAGCCTCCTAAGTAGCTGGGACTACAGGCGCCTGCCACAATACCAGGCTATTTTTTTGTTGCAGTTTGGCTGGGGCTGGGTTTGAACCCGCCACCGTTGGTATATGGGGCCAGTGCCCTACTCAATGAACCACAGGAGCTGCCCAGATTTAAAGATTTTAATGATATGAATCATAATCTAAAAAATATTTGAGAAAGAATTATTTTTTTTGTGTGTGTGTGTGACAGAGTCTCACTTTATTGCCCTTGGTAGAGTGCCATGGTGTCACAGCTCACAGCAACCTCCAGTTCCTGGGCTTAGGTGATTCTCTTGCCTCAGCCTCCCGAGTAGCTGGGACTATAGGCTCCTGCCACAGCACCCGGCTATTTTTTGTTGCAGTTTGGCTGAGGCTGGGTTAGAACCTACCATTCTCGATATATGGGGCTGGTACCCTACCCACTGAGCACAGACACTGCCTGAACGAATTTTTTTAAATGGTGCATCTTTTTGTTTTTATAAAGAGAAGTCATTCTTAAGGGAAATGCTCTATTTTCTACTTCTTGTTACTGTGTGTTGTACACTAATTGTATCATTAAGATAGAAAGAATTATTTATTATGACGTATCCATTGAGGTGTTCCTTCCAACTTCTCCTATTATATTGTATTATAACCTGGTATGACTAGGATCTCAGGGGCAGGGAAGCTTTTCATGTTGGAAGGCCACATTAATTCAGTTGTAATCAAGTTAGGCCACATTCAAGAGACTTCAATTAGATATAATTATACAGTACTTTACCAAAATCTGACTATTATGTACTTAATTTCAAAAAAATAAAACTACCTATTAATTTAAAGCTAACCAATCTTTTAATGACTTTGTGGTGTCTGCTTTTTGTTGGAAAGCATTGGAATATTTGGTTGCAGCCTGAAGGTCCACAGTTTTGGTCTCTACCTCGAGATGGGTATCAGTGATTTGTGACTTTAAGTGCATCTTGATTTGAGTTAGGAGAATGTAGCTTCACAGCAATAAGTGGTTAAAAAGCAAGAAAGCATTTGTCAGGCATGTTGCCGAAGGCACAGATAGGTCTCCTACTGCATTTTCCCATATCTCAACTGGATCTTTCTTAGCATCAAATAATAAGATGTTATCTACTAAGAGCTCAATCAGTTCCATCTGTAATTCTTTAGGTGCCTTGGTGATACTATCTGGGTGAGGCTGAAATGCTAATTTGAGTGTAATGTCATGGGTCTCAAAGTCAGTGAACCTTTCACTATAGTCTCTGATTAATAGTTTTGTGACAGCTGCATAGTTTTCAGATGATTCACATATCTTTGGTGACCTTTGCTAACTGGGGAAAATGTTCACCCCAAATTTCCCTTTTGAAAAGGAAAGTTCTGAAAAAAGCTCTTTTTGGCCAGATGGGGTGGCTCATGCTTGTAATCCTAGCACTCTGGGAGGCCTAGTCAGGAGAATCCCTTGAGTTCAGGAGTTCGAGACCAGCCTGAACAAGAGAGAGACCCCCATTTTTACTAAAAATAGAAAAAATCAGCCAGGTGTTGTGGCAGATACTGGTAGTCTCAGCTACTTGGGAGGCTGAGGCAGGAGGATCTCTTTAACCCGGGAGTTTGAGGTTGGTGTGAGCTAGGCTGATGGTGTAAGCTAGGCTGATGCCCTCCAGTCTGGACAATGTTAAAAGCTTTTTTCCAAAAATGCTTGGCTTCTTTTTACCCCATATCACATCACTTCACCTTGCAAAAAAATATTCAAGCCATTTTGACGTATCATGCAGAAATGCTGCATTGCTATAGAAATCTTTTCAATAATTCACATTGTTGATTCTGTTCCTTATAAAATTTAACTATCTGTTTTCACTGAGATAAAATTTCAGCTAACACCTGCAATAGCCAATGCACTTTAGAATGATACAGCAAATCCACACCAAATATCTTACCATTCAACTTCATCATGTTACAGAACTGACTATGCCGTGTTGCATTTGCAGGAATACAGTTAACAATACTTATAACTCGTTGCAAAGTGTCACTTAAAATAATAGCTTTAGCACAGAGATTTTGGTGATGTAAGATACAGTGAAAAGAAATGAGAACATCTGGATTTTTAAAGTTTTTTTTATCTGTGCTTTTTTTTTTTTTTTAAATCTTCCTGCCATGGAAGATGTACATACACTCAATAAATTTACCAAATCCAGTCCAATTTTACAAAGTTGCTGAAGATATATATCCCCCAAGTTCTGGTTGCAAGAGTGCCCAAAACAAGTTACCCCTCATAGCAAAGAAAACCTTCTATTATGACCCAAATGAAACATAAAACCTGGGCCAAGTTAGTAGTATCATTTGATTCATTCAAAGCGATTGAACGATATATATTTTCCTTTGCAAGTATTGCATGACGTTGTTCTATTAGATTGAAGGCTAATTCATGCTAGCAATGAGTTGTGGTTCTTCTTGAAAGGCAGTGGTTTGTACTTTGAAATGTTATCAGAGTCTAAGCGTCCTACTACTTTGACAATGCCTTCTTTCACAATTTCCACATCACTGAATGGCTTCTCTTTTTCCTGAGCATGTAAACAACTTTATAAGTTGCTTCCATGGTGTTATTTCCAGGTCTTGTTGTTGCTTGAAAGAATTCTTTGCTTTTTCTTTTCATCTTTTAATTTCTGTAATATAACCTTTCATACCTCTCCCTCTAATTTAAAATATTTGTGGTCCTTGTGAGTGTATTATATAATGCTGATGAGCCCTGAATTTAATGTTGCTATTGCAATGATTGCTATTGTGTGTTGAAAATGCTTAAGATCTACTCTTAGCAAACTAGGCGTATACAATACAGTATTACTAGTTATACTTGCCATGCTGCAACTTATATATGCAAAACTTATTTATGTTATAATTGAAAGCTTTTACCCTTTGGCCAACATCTTCTCCCTCCACCACCACCTTCACCACACTCTCAGCTCCTGGAAATTGCTATTCTATTTTCTACTTTTATGAGTTTGTTTTTTTAAGATTCCATATCTAAGTGAAATCACTCAATTTTTTTTTTTTTTGTAATCTGGCTTATTTCACTTCACATAACATATGTTTGTCTCCCAGGTTCAGCCATCTTGTCACAAGTAATAGGATTTCCTTCTTCTTTTAAGGCTGAATAATATATCTTTTTGCGTGAAGTATTTATTTGTTCATTTATCACAAAGAAGCAAATCATCTTGTCTTTAGCAGAAAATATTGCAATTCCCAATCCTCATTAACAATTTTGTCTTTTTCCTACACCATTCTCTTTGTCTTCTTTGACATGATGGGCTGTTAAGTGGTCAGAATTTAAAAATACTGTCAAGCTGTGCAACTATTCACAAAGTTCACTTCAAACAGAAACACCGTGTACTGTTGTGAAAAGCTGGTAACAGACTGGCGTACTGGACCTGCATCAACCCTCACCAAGCAGCCTTGTGCAGTAGTGGCTGCAGTCAGGTGGAGGAAGTTAGGACTGAATTATGAGTATACCAGGCATCTGGGAGGTCTGGGAGGATTATTTCCTTGAAATTTATTTTATTTTATTTATTTTTATTCTTTTTAAATACATTCATTTTAAAAATAAAAACATAAAACATGAACAAAAAAATGTATTGATAAAAATAAAAAGATTAGTTCTGTAAAATTTGGATTCAGTCAAAAGGCTACACTTAAAGACCTAGAAGGTCACATGTGATCTTAAAGCTGAAGGTTCCACACTCTGGGACTATCTGACTCACCTTTTCCGGTCCTCAAATGAACATGTTCTGACCTTTTGTACTATATCTAATTCTGTGGCTAAATAATACTTTGTGCCTGGGTGGCGCCCGTGGCTCAGTGAGTAGGGCACCAGCCCTATATACCGAGAGTGGCAGGTTCAAACCCGGCCCCAGCCAAACTGGAACAAAAAAATAGCCAGGCTTTGTGGTGAGCACATATAGTCCCAGCTACTTGGGAAGCTGAGGCAAGAGAATTGCCTAAGCCCAAGAGCTGGAGGTTGCTGTCAGCTGTGCGATGCCACAGTACTCTACTGAGGACGATAAAGTGAGACTTTGTCTCTAAAAAAAAATAAAATAAAATAAGATAATACTTTGTGCCCAACAGGATTCTTTTATACCAACATTTGATAAGAATGGTTAGCATTTTTTCATGATATCAGAATTGGATCAGATTATTACCAATAAATCTTGATCCATCATGGAAAGGAGGATGGTAAGGTAATAGAAATTTATTGTATCCACAAACTATTTTAAGTCATAATATTCAGCTTCCTCACTTGCCAATTTAACAGGCCCTGTAGGAAAAAAAACAACAAAAAGCACAGGAGAAGCAGGAATCTGCATAATTCATCATGTGAACAATCAATCCTGAGTATGTGCAGAGTGATTTCCTGGTAGATGTATCTGAACTTGTATTATTAACTTAATTTTAGGCCAAAAGTGTGGCAGCTCATGCCTGTAATCCCAACAATTTGGGAGGCTAAAGAGGGAAGATCCCATGAGGCTGGGAGTTAATGCCAGCCTGGGTAACATAGTGAGACTCAGCCTCTAGAAAAAATAAAAATACTTGGGTGTGGTGGAACATACCTGTAGTTGCAAGTACTCTGGAGTCTGAGGCAGGAGGATCATTTGAGGAGCCCAGGAATTCAAGACTGGGCAACATAGTGAGACCTTAAAAAAGAAAAAAATCTCAGCGATAGCCAGTATTGATGTGTTGCCTTATCTCACTCCAGGCATTTTCTCTGTATTTATCAGCACTTTTTTTTCCCCAAGAAACGATCACACTCTACACCCTAATTGTAGTTTGCCCTTTTCCATTTAATGTGCCAGATGTAATCTTTCCATATCAGTAAACAGATCTTTAGAATAATTTTTAACAATGACATATTTTTCTTTTATCCAGAATGTATGGTAATTTATTTAATGAGTTCCCTGTTTTAATTTGCTATCTTGAGATAATTTAATGCTGTTAGAAGAGTTGGAACAATTAGACACATTTCTTCATGCCTTCACTCAATTTTTCTGATTGTTAAAAGTTTGTCACATTTGCCTTTTCATACTCTATTTATACATAGTGTTTTTTGTCTGAACCTTTTGATCATTACTTGCTGATGTCATATTCTTTATCCTTGTACCATCATTGTATATTTCCTAAAAACAAGGACACCGTTATATAAACACAATAATAATGACACCCAGGAAGTCAACATTGAAATAACGCTATCACCAATTCTTAGACTTCATTCACATTTCTCCAGGTGCCTGAATAATGTTCTTTTTAGGTTTAAGGCCAACCCAACATCAGGACTAAGTCCAGGTATTGCATCGGGTTGCCAATTCTCTTTGATTTCCTCCAGTCTAGACCAGCTTCTCAGGCCTGCCTTATCTTTAATGACCTCGGTAGTTTTCAAAAATACAATCCAGTAACTTTGTAGAATGTACCTTCATTTGCTTCGTCTGATGATCCATGATTATACACGTTGGCAGCAATCTCAGGACGCTGGAGTGGGGTTGCATTCTTACTGCATCTCATCGGAAGGCATGCAGTGCCAATTCATCCCAATCAAGGTACTGCTAATTTTTATTTCAGTTAACGTGCTTTTCACTTCTGAAGTTTCCATTTGGTTCATTTTTATATCTTCTATTTGTTTGGTGAGACTTTTTAATTTTTTTGTTTCAAGGGGCTCCTGCTTGTTTGCTGAAGAATTTTTATGATGGCTGCTTTAAAATCTGTGTCAGAAAATTGTAATATTTCTGCCACCCCCACAGTGGAATCTATTGACCTATCTTTTTTATTTTTGTTTTTGGCCCGGGCTGGGTTTGAACCCGCCACCTCTGGCATATGGGGCCAGTACCCTACCCTTTTGAGCCACAGGCACTGCCCCCTATTGACCTATCTTTTTGATGACTTTTGAGATCTTCCTGGTTTTTGAAGTAATGAGTGATTTTTTTTTTCACTGAAACCTGGGTATAAGGTTACGAGACTCTGAATCTTATTTAAACTTTGTGTTAGATGACTGCTTCTAACACCACTCTGGTTGTGGACAGGGTGGGGGTACCCCCATCTCCTCATTGCCAAGTCAGGGCAAGTCAGAATTTCCCATTTGACCTCCTCTGAATCCTTCCCAGCCAGGGGGGTGGGGCTGGAGAGGAGGTTTTGGAGGGTAGAGATGGTATCTTATTGCTGGGTGCAGGTGAAAGTCTTGACTCTCCCCTAGGCCTCTGCTGACAGGACCTGGTGGGAAGGGGTAGGTGCCTTGTTACTGCCAGTTGGAATCAGATGTTCAGGTTCTCCTGGACACCAAAGCATAGAGTTGGGGGCATGACAGCAGAGATGAAAGACCTGGCTCCCTCCTTGGCCTTCTCTGACTCTGGCCTGGTGGGAGTGTTGGGTACCTAATCATAACCTGGTGGCAGTCAAGTCCAGGGACCTCACTGGCCCTCGGCTAGCAGTGGAGTCATGTACAGTTGGTTACTGTTTCGTCTGTGGTGTTTGGTTGGAGTAGAGAATGATCCTTAAGTTTTCTTCTTGCTAAGCTACCCCTTTCCTGGTTCTGTGGCTGGAGAGAAAAGGCTGCGTTTGAGGCTTTTTTTGGTCTATGCCCCATGGTGATGCCAAGTTGGTAGCTTGTCTGTTATCCCAGTGATTTTCAACTGTTGTGCTGTGGTATGCTGGTGTGCAATGAGAGGATCTTAGGTGTGCCATGAAAGTTTTTAAAGATCATTAATTAAATTATTTTTGAGAGAAGTTCAAAGCACAGTATGCATATTCTTTTTCTTACTTTTTTATTTTGATCAATAGGATTTAAGTGTGCCGTGCAAGTTTAAGTATAGTTTCAAGTGTGCTGAGACAGAAAAAGTTGAAAAGCATTGCATTATCTAGTTTGGAATCTGAGAGGCAAATGGAAAACCCAGAGAAGTCACCACAGTGTCATTCCCTGGGTCCCACGTTCCCTAGCCAGTCTCTATACTCTACCTTTCAGAGCCATCTTATATTCCGAATTTTGCTGGGTGTAGATTCAGCTGTCTTATATACGTTTTAGAAAATAAAAGGCCACCACCTGACTCTTCTGGGACCTCTGCCCTCAGCCACATTCCTCACTAGTAAAATGGATGTCCTGTACTCTGCCTGTGGATATGTGGGAAGTCACAGCTGCATCGCCGGGGCCTCTGCTTCCTGTGCTGCAGAAGCACTGAATGCTTCCATGTTAGCCAAAAAGCAGGTGCCTCTCAGCAGGTGGTGGAGGCTGGGCCACATCAGACTCTGAGCTTCAGACAGTCTACGAAAACTACATAGTTTTTGTCTTGTAGCCTTTGGCATGCATGTAGGCACACTGGAATGGAGTGAGCCAGTCGACCAAAGAACCTTTTGGAGAAAGCCCCTACCATCTACTTTCATGTTATTTTAAAGGGAAAGAATATTTTTATATTTTTAAATATCTAAAAATTTTTTTTTCACTTGTCACTGACTTAAAGAACAAGGATTTTTTTTTTTAATGCTCCCAAAGCATAAAGGACATAATCTTACACTAAAGCACAGGTATACATACTTACAAATACATGTATGCATATATGTATGTGTGTCACACACATACACACACACATAAGGAGACTTCAAAAAGTCCATGACTTTATCAAAACATTTTTATAATAAGAGTATGTTACCACTCTTTGGCCTTCCAGAAAGTCAACAAGCAGAATGCCTCTAGCATCCTAAAAAAACTCTTGTCATGACCTTTGCTCTTGACTGGTCTGCTTGTGATTTGGCTGGACCACTTCCGGCTCTGGAAGCCATTGGTTTGACTGTGCTTTGTCTTTTTGCAGAATTGCTTCAGGATTTTGACCTCACTTAAAGTTCCATTGAAAGCTCTGCTCTTGTCTGCAGCTGGTCTGGGTGCACGTTTTGGCACCATCAAGTGGGAAGTTTGCTCACTTTTGATTTTCCAGGCAGAACTGTGTACAGCTGAATCAGTTGAGATGTCTGTGGTGCTGACTACTGTTTTTGCTGTTGATTATCAGCCCTTTTCAATTAAGGCATGAACAAGGTGAATTTTTTCCTTGCAAATCAATGTGGATGGTCTACTGCTACAGGCTTCATTTTTGTCTCTGCTTAAAGTGAGTTATCTATTTGTAGATTGATGATTTCTATGGACATAGTTCCCATAAACATTTTCTTTTTTTTTTTTTTTTGAGATGGAGTCTCAGTCTGTTGCCCAGGCTGGAGTGCTATCTTGTCAGCCCAGCTCATAGCAACCTCAAACTCTTGGTTTCAAGAGATCCTCCTGCTGGGACTACAGGCAGCCCCCATACCACTTGGCAATTTTTCTAATTTTGGTAGAGATGGGGGTCTCACTCTGACTCAGGCTGGTCTCAAACCCCTGAGCTGAAGGAATCTTCCTGCATCAGCCTCTCAGTGCTAGGGTTATAGGCATGAGCCACTGCATCCAGGCCCCATTACCTTTTTGTGTCAGTGATTTCACCATCCCCCATCCTATGCTTCCCCATAAATTTGGTATTTGTCCCTGCTTAGATTTTAGCTGAATTCAAAAGTACGGGCTTTTTTCAAACTAATGTTGTATCCTTCTTAGGGCCTCAAATTAGATCCCATTCAAATATGTTATAACAAGTTACTATGAGTTTATTTTGGTGCAAAGTATTTTAAAAGCCCTGCATAGCTTTTTCATAATATGCATTTTCCATGAATTTTTTTTTTCATTTTATTGTGGATCATTGAAAATCTTAATGGCTTGGCACCTGTGGCTCAAGCAGCTAAGGTGCCACATACACTTGAGCTGACTGGTTCGAATCCAGCCCGGGCCCGCCAAACAACAATGATGGCTGCAACCAAAAAATAGCTGGGCATTGTGATGGGCGCCTGTAGTCCCAGCTACTTGGGAGGCAGAGGCAGGAGACTCGCTTGGGTCCAGGAGTTGGAGGTTGCTGTGAGCTGGGATGCCACAGCACTCTACCCAGGGTGACAGCTTGAGGCTCTGTCTCAAAAAAAAAAAAAAAAAAAAAAACTTATCAAAAAAATAGCTCTGGATCAATAAAATAGAGAAATCCTGCTCCACAAGGTAAACAGAGAAAATGAAAGGGAATAAAATCCCAACCGGGGATTTTTGTTCCTTCGTAATCACCAGTTGTGTTGGGTAGGGAGTTTGGATTGTTACCCTTTATTTACTTTTACCTGTCTGCCTGCCTTCTTTTTCCCTTTATCCTTATCCTGTTCCCTTTTTCCTTATCCATCATAGTTCTAGCTTCTCATCCCTGGAAACTGAGGGAGGAGGTTGCATTTCCCAGGCTGTTGCCCTCTAATCTTTCTATTGTCCTGCCTCTCAGCTGTTACTAGAACACCAGGATGCGTATCAGGCTGGAACCGTGTTTCCTGATTCTTTTTACCCTGACATCTGTAAAGGAGGTAAGATGAAGATTTGCAGGCCAAAAAATGTCACTTTTACTTGATTAGTAGGAAGAGGTACTATTTAAAAATGTGTATCCGTATAATGGCACAATGTATTTTCCATTATCGTCGGTCAGCGACTTCGTGTTCACCAGCTTCTTCATGGATGGTTGTTGGCGTGAGTGCGTAGTATGTTGTCAGATCTTACCTGCATCTAAGGTGGTGGTATTCACAGATTGGGCTCCTAGCTGACTTTTCTTCGTTCTCACTCACTCAGCTTACTTTTTAATTTTCCTCTTTTTCTGGGGATGCTTTCCCTTGCCAAGATGGGGTCTTTGGTTCCCATTTGCCCAGCAATTCAAGTACGGACTTTTCTTAGATTTTTCCCAAATTTTACCTTGTTTTGTAATTCAATAATAGTTTCTTTTTTCTTCTTTGGTGATTCACTTTTATTGTATCTTTGGGAAGTACTTAGCTTACTTAGCTACTTAATTGCCAAAGAAAAAGCTATTTGTTTTTATACTCATATTTCATCAGTTTACTTAATATTGAATTTTTTTTTTTTTTTTGAGGCAGAATCTTGCTATATTGCCCTCAGTAGAATGTTGTGGCGTCACAGTTCACAGCAACCTCAAACTCTTGGGCAAAAGCGGTTCTCTTGCCTCAGCCTCCCAACTAGCTGGGACTAAAGGCGCCTACAACAATGCCTGGCTATTTTGTTGTTGTTGCAGTTGTCGTTGTTGTCTAGCAGGCCCGGGCTGGGTTCAAACCCGACAGCCCTGGTGTATGTGGCCAGTGTCCTAACCCCTGAGCTATGGGCACCGAGCCACTTAATATTGAATTAACTTATAATTACAACAACAAGAACAACTGGTTTAAACAGCATTAGCAACAGATCTGATGGCCCTCGGTGAGTCATAGTATGAGGGTACAGACAGATGAGCTCAGGCCTCTGGACATTGGCTTGCTAGCTGTCAAGTCCACCATGCCCCGGGGGGACTTCTTTTTTGTTTCTAGTTTGTCTGACTTACAGAGGGTCCAGAGAGCTTTGGTTTATCTGGCACTTTGGTTAAACAGAGGTTGATCAAAAGAATGACTACTATCCTTAATTCTGGATTTGTAACTGAATTCTGGAGAACAGGAATTATTTAAAGCTTTCTGTCTAAGAAAACTGTTGGAGCCAATCAAATTTCTTAGTTCCAACTTCTTTAAAATCATTTTCAGAAAAACAATGACTTAAAACTAGTTACGTAATTTTTGCTTTAGCAACAGCATAAAAAATTTGAACTGAAGGATATGAACTCTGGAGTTTTGTTCTCAGTTGCCCCCGTAACATTTGGAACCCCATGAAGAATTTGTGACACTTGGAGATTAGAATAGATGCCAGTTCTTGTCTTTTCTATCCCTCCTGTGGGAAGAAGGAGCTACATGGGGCGTGTACTGGGCCCATTCAAAGGATCCTTTTGTAAAATAGTCACAGGGGCCTGGGCATTTGAAAATAATTATTACAGATTCAGATCCTTGAATGCCTTTGGAGTATCTGCTTTTTGTGTTTTGTACTTTTAGGGAGTTTAAAGTGATGGACAAAAAGTCTATTTCTTAAAACCGTAATGAACAAAAAACTTGTCTCCTTAGCTTTAAGAACAGAAATGGAAATCCTTCTAGCCTCTGTTCTAACCAGGTGGTGTGAGAGGCTGTAAGCCAGCTTAGGCTCCTTCCTGTTATGGTCGGGCTTCTGTCATCTGGCAGACAGTGCTAGGCCTGTGCCAAAATTTCATCTGACTCCTGGAGGCTTCCTTTGAACTTCAGTAGAAGAAACTAAGGGGCTTGGAGGGAAAGAGGAGAAGGGACATGGCAGCACAGTGGGCAGTGGTGGAAGATTTGATTGAGACGCTCCATCTTTTAAGAAAGAATCCAGAGCCCTGTTTTTGTTTTATCAGGAAAATTCCACAGTGTGTCTGAAAGCACTCACTGGACTCCGTTCCTTAATGCAAGCATTCATTACATCCGAGAGAAATATCCTCTTCCCTGGGAGAAGGTAGGTGTAGTTGTGATCCTAAAAAATTCAGATCCAAACCTGCCCAGTCCTGCTTCTGTACTCTCTCCCACAGACTCTGTAAAGCTGGTCACCATTCTACCTTCAGTGTCAAGCACAGTACTTGAGACAGAGCGGATGGTTGGTTAATACTTGAATAAGCTATATTTAAAGAAAACTTTGGAGTATGTCACTTGGTCTTTTTGCGCTGATAGTAATTAATGTGAAAGGTCTTCTAAGTCTCTTCAGAACGTTTCCAAAAGTCTTTATGTGATTTTTGATAATGAGAAACTACAATATACCTATCTCTCACTTCAATAATGGAAATGAAGTTATGTTTACTAAAACTTTTAAGAGGACTATTGTTGTTATAAAATACCCAAACACGTGTGACTCTAATTTGCTTATTTGGCAGGATACAGAGAAATTGGTGGCTTTCTTGTTTGGAATTACCTCTCACATGGTGGCAGATGTCAGCTGGCATAGCTTGGGTATTGAGCAAGGATTCCTTAGGACGATGGGAGCTGTGAGTACATCTCTTTATGGTTAATGACTTTATGGGAGTGATACTGTCATACCCAAGATCAAAAAACAGACCATTTTAAAGGAAAGGAAAATGTTAGGTTATTCACATGGCACGTGCAGACAAGACTTCTTGCCCAAAGCAGTGTTTGGTTAGAGTTCTAGCTTTTCCAGTTCGTTCCTTTTATTTCTCTTGCCACCTTTTATTTAAATACAGCTTATGGGTAATTCATCCACAAGAGCAGAATGATGCATGTGCACTGAAAACAGGGATAGATGTGGTGTTCTGTTTGAGTCATAAAAATATTTGAGAAATTTTATGTTTCAATCAAGCTGTGTACCTTAATAAGGACATCAGCCATGTGGTTCTATTTAAAAGTTAACGGTTCCACTTTTCTTTTTTTCTTTGTAATTTTCTGTATGAAAATGCCATGTTGTCTACTGAAAATTGTGATTTTTTTTTTTTTTTTTAACCTGGTGACTTAGCTTCTGGAAGGCCCTTGTGGTCATTAATTGATCTTAATTTCATTCTTTTAGTAGTTTAAACTTGGACTCTAATTTTTATACATATCCTATAAGGCATAATTTTCTACAATAGCTTTGCAATAGTTTTATCACCAGACATTATGTGTACAACTCAGATGCCAATATAATTTTTTTATTGATAAAATGTTAGTGTGAGGATTGAATCCACCTATATGCATCTTCAGCAATTCATCGGGATAGGCTGTCATCTCCCCAGTACTCACTTGACTTTGGGTAAGAGTTTGGGCTACAATTGTGATAAACACCAGGTGGTTCTCTTTCTTTTTCAGATTGATTTTCAAGGCTCTTATTCTGAGGCTCATTCGGCTGGGGATTTTGGTACTGTCTATTTTTATTTGCCAACTACTTTCCTGTGTTATAGTTCACTTATAATGAAATCATTTATATTCTTTAAATATGTATGTTTTTTATGTTTTGCAGTACATAGACACATGTATGAAAAGATATATGCATGCTTTTTTTTTTTTTTAGACAGTCTCAAGCTGTCCCCCTGGGGAGAATACCATGGTATCACAGCTCATAGCGACCTCTAACTCTTGGGCTCAAGTGATCCTCTTGCCTCAGTTTTTCTATTTTTAGTAGAGATGGAGTCTCGCTCTTTCTTAGGTTGGTCTCAAATTTGTGAGCTCAAGCAATCCACCTCCCTTGGCCTCCCAGAGTGCTAGGATTGCTTGCGTGAACCACTGTGCCCAGCCCTATCTTTCTATTTTAATATTGCAGTTTTTTTACAGTACAGACGTGCCTCATTTAACATAGAGTTATATCTCTAAAAAGGCTATATATATTTTTTGTTAAAAAAATTTATCATTGATGTGTGTCATAATTTTAGAAAACCTGTACTTTTATATAGGATAAAAATTCATTACCTAGTGTCTTCTAATCTCTTAATACTTTTGCTTTAAATTGTGGTAAATTATCTTTAAATATGTGAACTTGATGGTGAATAGTGTTTGTTTAAAATAACTTTTATAGTCTATCTTTCCTTAAAGTAAAAAAAGACATTCTTTGCTTATATGAATGATTTTCTTTTTTTTTCCTTCTTCTTCTTTTCTTTTTTCTCTTTTGGAGGCAGAATCTTGCTCTGTTGCTGGAGTGAGAGTGCAGTGGTTTCATCACAGCTCTCTGCAACCTCAACCTCCTGGGGTCAAGCAATTGTCTTGCCTCAGTTTCCTGAGGAGCTAGGATGATAGGCATGCACCACCATGCCTGGCTAATTTTTTCTATTCTTAGTCGACATGGGGATCTCGAGTGATCCTCCCACCTCAGCCTCCCAGAGTGCTAGTATTCCAGCGTGAGCCACTGTGTCCCACACAGTGATTCTCCCTTAATTGATATGCTTCGCTAGCAAAGATTTTAAAAATACAGCTTTTTAAAGAAAGACGTGCCTATACCAAAAACTATTAACAGGAATGTGTAACAGTGTGAAGAACTAACAATCTGGTTTGTGTGAATTTGTGTTGAAAGAAACATGTTATGATTGCCACTAATCCACCACATGTAAATTTTTCTCATTCTGTAGGAGGAGATGTGTTGAGCCAGTTTGAATTTAACTTTAATTACCTCGCACGGCGCTGGTAAGAGCAATGTACATTTGAAAATGTGATACCTAACTAGTATTTAGGACCTTAACTCTTTTTTTCTTTCTTTCTTTTTTTTAATTAAATCATAGCTATGTACATTAATGCAGTCATGGGGTAGGGTGTGCTGGTTTTATATACAATTTGAAATATTTTCATCAAACTGGTTAACATAGCCTTCGTGACATTTTCTTAGTTATTATGTTAAGACAATTTATATTCTGCATTTAGAAAGATTCACATGTACCCTTGTAAGATGGACCATAGGTGTGATCCCACCAATCCCCTCGCACCACCCATCCTCCCCCCTCCCCTCCCCTCCCCTCCCTTCTCTCTCCCCTGTCCCATATTCTTGGGCTATAAGTGGGCTATAGCTTTCGTATGAAAGCTATAAACTAGTTTCATAGTAGGGCTGAATACACTGGATACTTTTTCTTCCATTCTTGAGATACTTTGCTAAGAAGAATATGTTCCAGCTCCATCCCTGTAAACTGAAGGAGGTAGTCTCCATCTTTCTTTAAGGCTGCATAATATTCCATGGTATACATATACCACAATTTATTGAACCATTCGTGGATCAGTGGGCACTTGGGCTTCTTCCATGATTTAGTTGTTATGAATTGGGCTGCAATAAACATTCTGCTACAAATATCTTTGTTATAACGTGATTTTTGATCTTCTGAATATATACCTAGTAGAGGAATTATAGGATCAAATGGCAAGTCTATTTTTAGTTCTCTAAGCGTTCTCCAAACATCTTTCCTAAAGGGACGTATTAGTTTGTATTCCCACCAGCAGTGTAGAAATGTTCCCCTTTCTCAACATCCATACCAGCATCTCTGGTTTTGGGATTTTGTGATGTGGGCTAATCTTACTGGAATTAGATGATATCTCAAAGTAGTTTTGATTTGCATTTCTCTGATGATTAATGATAATGAGCATTTTTCATATGTCTGTAGGCTGTGCGTCTGTCTTCTTCAGATAAGTTTCTCTTCAAATCCCTTGCCCACCCTGAGATGGGATCACTTGTTCTTTTCTTGCTAATACATTTGAGTTCTCTGTGGATTCTGGTTATTAAACCTTTGTCAGAGACATAACCTGCAAATATCTTCTCTCATTCTGAGGGCTGTTTGTTTGCTTTACTTACTGTGTTCTTGGCTGTGCAGAAGCTTTTTAGTTTGATCAGGTCCCAGTAGTATATTTCTGATGTTGCTTTGATTGCCTGGGGGGATCCTCCTCATAAACTTTTTGCCCAGGCCGATTTCTTCAAGTGTTTTCCCTATACTTTCTTCTAGTGTTTTTATAGTTTCATGTCTTAAGTTTAAATCTTTAATCCAGTGAGAATCTATCTTAGTTAATGGTGAAAGGTGTGGGTCCAGTTTCAATCTTCTACAGGTTGCCAGCCAGTTCACCCAGCACCATTTGTTAATAGGGAATCTTTTCCCCGCTCAATGTTTTTAATTGGCTTGTCAAAGATCAGGTAAGGGTAAGTAGCTGGATTCATCTCTTGGTTCTCTATTCTTTTCCATACATCTACCTCTCTGTTTTTGTGCCAGTACCATGTTGTTTTGATCACTGTCGATTTGTAGTATAGCCTGAGGTCTGGTAGTGTGATTCCTCCTGCTTTGTTTTTATTTCTGAATAATGTTTTGGTTATTCGAGGTTTTTATTTTTTATTTTTTTATTTTTTGAGACAGAGCCTCAAGCTGTCCCCCTGGGTAGAGTGCCATGGCATCACAGCTCACAGCAACCTCCAACTCCTGGGCTCAAGCGAGTCTCCTGCCTCCGCCTCCCAAGTAGCTGGGACCATAGGTGCCCACCACAATGCCCAGCTATTTTTTGATTGCAGCCATCATTGTTGTTTGGCAGGCCTGGGCTGGATTCGAACCTGCCACTTTAGGTGTATGTGGCTGGCTCCTTAGCCACTTGAGCCACAAGTGCCGAGCCTCAAGGTTTTTTCTGATTCCATATAAAATGAAGTATTATTTTTTAAAATTCTTTAAAGTATGACAGTGGGGCTTTAATAGGGATTACATTAAAATTGTATATTGCTTTGGGTAGTATGGACATTTTAACAATGTTGATTCTTTCCAGCCATGAGCATGGTATGTTTTTCCATTTGTTAACATTTTCAGCTATTTCTTTTCTTAGAGTTTCGTAGTTCTCTTTATAGAGATCTTTCACATGCTTTGTTAGTTAAACTCCCAAATATTTCATCTTCTTTGGCACTACTGTGAATGGAATAGAGTCCTTGACTGTTTTATCAGCTTGACTATTGTTGGTATATATGAACGCTACTGATTTATGAATGTTGATTTTGTAGCTTGAGATGCTGCTATATTCCTTGATTACTTCTAAGAGTTTTGCAGTAGAATCCCTGGTGTTTTCCAGATATACAATCATATCATCTGCACAGAGTGAAAGTTTGATCTCTTCTGACCCTATATGGATACCTTTGATTGCCTTTTCTTTCCTAATTGCAATGGCTAAAACTTCCATTACAAAGTTAAAGAGCAGTGGAGAAAATGGGCAACCTTGGCTGGTTCCTGATCTGAGTGGAAATAATTTCAATTTAACTCCATTCAATATGATATTGGTTGTAGGTTTGCTGTAGATGACCTCTATCAGCTTAAGAAATGTCCCTTCTATCCCAATTTTCTTAAGTGTTCTGATCATGAAGGGATGCTGGATATTATCAAAAGTTTATTCTGCATCAATTGGGAGAATCATATGGTCTTTGTTTTTTAATTTGTTTATGTGATTAATTATATTTATGGATTTACATATGTTGAACCATCCTTGAGATCCTGGGATAAAACCCACTTAGTCGTGGTGTATAATTTGTTTGATGTGTTGCTGGATTCTGTTTGTTAAGATCTTGTTGAATATTTTTGCATCAATATTCATTAGTGATATTGGTCTATAATTTTCTTTTCTTGTGGGTCTTTTCCTGGTTTGGGGATCAGGGTGATGTTAGCTTCACAGAATGTGTTGGGTAGTATTCCATCTTTTTCTATATTTTGGAAAAGGTTGAATAATATAGGTACTATTTCCTCTTTGAAGGTTTGGTAGAATTCTTATGTGAAGCCATCTTGTCCTGGGCTTTTCCTTTTAGGGAAATTTTGTATAGTTGATGCTATTTCAGAACTTGATATAGGCCTGTTCAACATTTCCACTTCATTCTGGCTAAGTCTTGGAAGGTGGC